AGTTTAAAAAAAAAAAAAAAAAAAAAAAAAAAAAAAAAAAAAAAAAAAAATTGGTATTCCCCGAGATCCCTCACTGTGCCCTTCTCAGATCCCCCGTCAAGACATCTCACGAACCGTCCCTGAATTCTCTGCCCCTCACCTCTCCTCACTTCTTCACGCCCTCCACCTCCCTCCCAGCAACCACCACCCTCCTCTTCTCCGCCGCCGAGAACAAACTCGCACCCGCCTGCAACGCCGCAATGAGGATCGGCAAACTCTCGCTCTTGAAGTCCTCGCTCGTACGCAATTTCTCGAGATCGTCCTCGAACTCTCGGGTTGCACGCTCCATATAGAATTGCGTAAACTCTTTTGAGATCTGAGCGTCTGTCAATTCATTATTCGATGATGATGACGTTGGCTCAGGAGCCTAATGTTTCTTAGCATTGATATTCTTGAACGGAGTTTGGGCTCTGAGGGGGGGAAATAATAGATATATATATATAATATGTAATATGGAGTGTTTTTGGGGGGGTATAAGGTAAAGAGGGTGGAGGGAAAAAGGCTGACCTCCTCCGACGAGCTCGATGAATCGCTCTGGGCCTGGGCTTGGGTATTTGAAGCTCGAATTTTAGCTGATGGCGATACACTCTTCTTCTTCTTCTTCGTCGTCGTCGTCGTCCCGGCCGGCTCGCTGTCGGAAGATGAACTAATATCTGACTCCACTTTTTTTTGGCATGGTATCAGCGTGACTGTCTTCTTTCCAGATCATCTAGGCTGCAAGGTTCTACAAGTACGAACCTGTCGTTCTGGACTTCCGCTTCTTGTGTCTTCGGGGCTTGGGCGCGGTATTGGGCGGCATCGTGGTGAGATTTGTAGTCTCTGAAATTTGGACGGTGACGGGATGGTTTGTACGGAAAAGAACTTTCTCCGGATTGGGTTTGGATTTGATCTAGGTAACCTGCTGGTTTACGGTAAGCGAGGCAAGCTTATATGCTTACCAAGCCACCTCACTAGGTAGAGCGACTTATACTGGTGGAGAAGCCGAGAAGCTGGCAAACTGGCAGACTGACAACTTGCCATGCTCACTTTGCAGGTGGATGGATAGCAGCTGTATAAAGGATCAACCTCCCCTTTGCTTTTCCATATTTCCCGGTCCCACTCCCAGTCCCAGTCCCAGTGCTCCATCCCAAACAAACCAACAAAACCCCCTTTATCAAATTCTCAATTCACTATCACACGCTTCGTGAAGCTGTTATTTTTCATGCTTGGACAGCTGCTCTGCTAATTGTATCAAAAGGTCGCTAAACATGATCCTGAGTCTCAAAGCGAGGCGGCATAGTATTTCACAAAGGACTTCAGGCACTGGGGATGCGCCCGCAACTAACTGATTTCAATCATGGAACGGAATGGGCCTCTCATACCCATGGACAAACAGTTTCCGGCTGACTGGAGAGGCTTTATAAAGACGTTGGATGGAGGGAGAAGCAGCAGTCCTCTTTTGCTGGGTTGGGGTTTTTTTTTTTTTTTTTTTTTTTAATAGATCGCGATGCCTTCCTTTCTCATTTGTCTCTTCTTGGTAAGAACACTCTAAGCAGGTTGTGTTCAGTTGGCGATGTTTGTAACTGCGCAAATCTTCTCTCTTAGGGAGGGAAATCGACTTCCTTTCCATTTCTCGCTGTCGCACAACGAAGGATACTCTATGCAAAGGCCACTCACTCATTTTTATTTCGGGATACTTTTTTCACGATTATGGATGGCAGATAGGCTCACTCATGCAACTTTCTGTCGGGAAGGAAATTCCACTTCCTTCATTTTTTATCACCTCTTGAGAGAAATGAACCATCTGAACTTCCTTTATTTGACCAGATTATGTAGAATCTCTTTATGCTAGCTCCAATGCCATCGCATCCTAAAAACTCAAGCCCCTCGTGGATGTTGAGGTAATTCTTTCCTGCTCACTCATGTATTACTAGTTGTTGCAGTGACAAAATAATCAATACATGCTGAGTATACTAAGGTTCGTATCGCCGATACCCTTACTGTCTTTCTTATAAAAACCTGGCTGCAGCTCTGCATAGCTTTCGACCAACCTGCGCACACTCGTCACTAGCCCGCGCCATGGTTCTTTGAAATCATAGATCATGCTTCTATGGCCTCGCCTTCAGCGCTCTCATGATGTATCGACGATCTACCGCGCTTAGCCACCAGTATCTCTCCTCCTGATCCTCGTGAGCTAAAAAATCGGAATAAATACGCGCACACTCTCCCTTTGCTGGCGCCATGTCAATGATACACTGCAGATAGAAGAAACGGTCGTTCTTCTGCGCTTGTGAATAAGCATATTGTGAGCAGTCGAGGCTGTTTCCCACCAATGGAGGCTCATTTGTCAGTAAGCGTGGATAAGCCGCCGAAAATTGCAAGGGAACCATAGTAGTGAGACCCAAATCTATGACGCTCAATTTGCGAAATCAGCCTAGAATCTTCGAGTTCCGTCGATGTGACTTACCATTACACCTGCCCTTTATTCATGATAATGTTAGAAGATTGTAGGCCGCCGTGAATAAGGACATGAGGGTCAGTATCACTGGCTGGGAAGTGAAAGTTAGGTAGGCGACGCGGTAAAGCCTCACAGTCATGGACTGGGACTCCAGGAACAGATCGACGAACCCGGGCTCTATTGATCTTATCTTCGATCCATGCCACAGCAGAGCCGCCTAATGGACGTCGGTTTTGGGCAGGACAAAGGTATCCCATCAGCTCACCCTGCTCTCGTATGTTCAACAAGTCTAAGCTGACCTCAGCCCTATCCTTGATGATACTCTTCCGGGATTTCATAAGGGGATAGGAATCTGTCCATTCCAGTTCCATCTGCCCACGTTGTAGCAATCATGGGTGTCCATGCTTCTAGATCGTGACCGATTAATTGTGGTAGATGACGAATAAATTTCCTGCTGATAGCTTGTAAAAGTTCAATTTCTGTCCGACCTGAGAGCGAGTGTCTGAAGACTGATGTCGATCGATGCGAAACCCAAATCTCTCTCCGTTGACTTCCACCGCAAAAACGGTGCACTATCACCCATATGTGGATCAGAACCGGTATTGAGGATAAATCTACAAGGGAAGCCAGTAATGCGGACAACTAACTCAGCAGCCTTTGCGGATGATTGAGAAATGGAAGATGGTGTGATGGGATGGATCGCGTATGTGATACAGAAAATTCATGGAGAGAGAGAAGGAAGAGCCGTTTCTATTCTTATCGTTAGGCAAAGCTAAACGAGTCGATGAGTATTTTGAAAAGAGGGTTGAAGATGAAGTAGTAGTAGTAGTAGTAGTAGTAGTGCGGCATCTGGTCACGTGTAAACATGTACTCGTAGTGCCAAGAGGGAAAACGGATTGATTTCACGTGACTTTTAAGGTCTCGGCCCGGCCCGCGGTTAAATCCTGTCGATTCGCCCTTGGGCCTTCGGCCAGCATCCGACGGCCTCCCAACTCCAGAACACATGAGACTTTTAGCCACTGGATGTTTCTTTTACAAAGTCGGGCGGTTCTTCAGCCTCCATCTCTCCGAATTCGCGTCCTTGACAACTTTCTCCTCCGCCTCGAGCTTCCGGAGGGTCTGAAGAATACCACCGCTCGCTGCCTGGTGGAGGTTCGTAGGAACATTCTTGTAGATCACCTTGACAAGCTCCATCGTCGTCCAGCCATCAAGTTCATTCCTTGTCTCAATCGCGGGCGATTTTCTGGACTTCAGAGTCTGGATAACCTGGTTCTCACGCACCTGCCTATGCTTGATATATTCAATGATCTTGCTCGGGCCACCTTCGACAACTGCTCCGTGCCCGGGATACGCTCGCCCATGGAACTTGGACCTCATATTTTCAAGACTCTCCAGATATACCGTCAGATCTTCAAAAACAGCGGTACCATGACCTAGGAGATTATCGCCAGTGAACATGGCATCTTCATCCTCGAGAATAATGACCACGTGGTCGCGGGTATGGCCGGGTGAGTGCAAGGTTCTCAAAGAGGCACCTTCAACTTCGAAATGCTGGCCATCTTTGATCTCGTTTTGACCCTCGTCTGGCAGGTACTTGTATATAATAGTGGTTGGTGAAAACTCCAATAGGTCGTGAATGCCTCCCACATGGTCGTAATGCCTGTGGGTGATGAGAGCTTTTGTTATGGTTGCGTTCTCGGTCCGCAAGGCTTCCTTGAGAGACGCAATCCAAGCCGGCTTTCCTTCTCCCGTATCAATGAGGATTCTTTGCCTCCCAGTTCCGACAATATACGTATTCGAACCTGGAGAGTCATCAGACGACCTGTTCACAGGACTGGGCTGATCTGTTACCTTGCAAAGTAAACTGTTGCGGTTAGTGAATGTCTTGGGGGGGCTCGGAACTAATTAACTCGCTCTTAAAAGACATAAATCATGTTTGAAAGGGTCATATATCAGGTACGGCCAAGCTAAGGCGCATGAATGGTAGCTACGAGTAGCGAGCATAACAAGGAAGAGCGTTGCCCAGAAAACCCAAGGGCCCAAGGGTATTGTTAAATATCAAAAGCTGTGGCTCTACCGTACCAACGCTAGAGATTCCGCTCAAAATGCTGATCATGATGGCGGCAATAAAAGCACTTAACGCGATGTGAGGCTCGACTGATATAGAATGTGGAGCTGCTCGCTCACCTTGCCAGGGTTTCCTCCCAGAACCCGAATTACACGTGCACTTAACCTCTCAATCTCTTTTAACTGTACCAGTTGTGTAGCCATTCCTGCGATGTTCGATATTTGATGCTCGATGGGCGATACTGGTGTTATATGGTGGAAAAGTTGGACTGGCTAACTTAAAATCATGACGGTCGTTTTAGCCTCGGCTTCATCGCCCCGTATCGTAAGCGAGTATATAGTTACCTACTTACTAGGTATATATCAAGAGCCCGTCGAGATTCATCATTTTATCGCCCCCGACGCTCTCAACACCTTCAACAGATTCAAGATGGGGTCCTCGCGACCTGCCACGCCGGCGTCGCCCAGAGTCCCCAAAATCAAGATGGCCCAGCCAGGTGTCCCCCTGTTCGGCTGTGGTACGTAACGTAGCGAAAGTCGCAGCCTTGCCGGCCAGCCTGCTCACACGAACCCATAGAACACATCCGCATCCTTCTGGAGGGATCTGTCGAGATACTACAGAATACAATAAAACACTACAAAGACTGCCTGAGCGTAGTATCCGATCCTACTAGAAAGACCAGTTGCCAAACCTCCCAAGGCCCTAACGGAGAGGCCCGGACAACCCTCACTCCCAACTACCTCTGTCTCCAATGTGATCGCACAACCACCGCAGAAGGCCGAACTGAGCATGGAATGGAGACTAAGCATCGACTCTGTAGGCTCTCCCCATCTGCAGACTTCCCTTATCTGCAGACTTTTAATGTGCAGCTACTGACCCCTATAGATGTTGAATCGAGAAATGGTTATCTCTTCTGTCAGATGTGTGATGATTTCGTCTTTGACCCAACACTCGAGGACCTGAGACTAAGGAAGTTTGGTACAGGAAGCTTCTCATGTAGGTGGAGCATTTGTCTCTGTTATCCCGTCCATATTGAAAGGAATGACACGATGCTAACCTCGGGCAAACAGCACGGAAACGAAAACTCGATGACCTCTTCACAAATGCTTCTAAAGAGGATGCCCAACTCATGTCCCTGAACACTAACAACACGCCGTGCCGTGCCAATGGGATACGTGGCATCTACAATATGGGGGCTACTTGCTACATGAATGTCATTCTTCAGAGTTTGATACAGAACCCTCTGTTGCGAAATTTTCACCTGGGCGACGGTCACAGAAATGCCGAGTGTAGTCGGAAGAATTGCGTAGCTTGTGCAATGGATGAGATGTTCCAGGCCTTCCATGCACAGCCCGACACAGTTGGGTACTCCGCACACAACATGCTTGCTTGTTTCTGGATGTCGAAGCGGAAAGCCTACGAGGAACTCGCCAGCAACAAGGAGCAAGATGCACATGAGTTCTTCCAATTCCTAACCGAGGAGCTTCATGAGATAAACGCCAGTGCGAAGCTCCAGTCGATCGAAGATGGTGCCCCTTCTCCAAAGCGCACCAAACCCGATTCGAGCTGTAATTGCATCGTCCATCAGACCTTCTATGGCCGTACACAGAGCACGATTACGTGCCAAGGCTGTGGTGAGGTCCGAACTTCAGTCCAGCAGTTTATGGATCTTAGTCTGGGTCTAGATGTCCTTTCGAAGAAGAAAAGTATCAAAGTAACTGGACTGAGCGTGAAGCGATGTCTTGAGGCAGAGTACACGGTTGCAGAACGTTGCGAATATACTTGCCATGTGTGTGGGACCAATGAAGCAAAGAAGCTATCGAGCATCAAGAGTCTACCAAATGTACTCGCTCTTCAGTTAAAGGTCGGTTTTATTTCCTCGATTGCCAGAATTGTCTCTTGCTGACCTTTTGCAGCGCTTTAAGCAGTACAATGGCAATGCCTCAAAGATTGAGACAAAGGTCTCGTTTCCTCTCAAGCTCGACATGTTTCCGTACACCAACCGGGCCCGGCAGGACATTAAACAAAATCCCGAGTTGGCAAGAGGATGTACATATGAACTTCAAAGTGTTGTCGTTCACGTTGGCAACCTCGAAACTGGTGAGCCACAGGTCTTCGTTTGAATGTAACAACCATGCTAAGATTTTAGGTCATTACATCTCGTACTCACGAGTCGGCAACCAGTGGTTCAAATTTAACGACCACAATGTCACAATGGCCTCCAAATCAGATGTCCTCAACGCAGAGGCCTTCATTTTATTTTACGTCATACAATCGTTGGCATGATTGGCACGCTTGCACGGGAAGGCAATTCCAGTTAAAAGGGCGGATGGATAGGCAGTTTAGGCGCCGGTTAGATTTTTGTGAATGTAAGAATACCCAGGCTATGGAAGACGCCTCAGCATAATTGCACAAAAGCATAATCTATGGTTTCGGCCGGCTCCTGTACAGTACTTAGATTGGCTATCAAAGCCTCCTCGAATTCCCCAAAGGGAAATGATTGCAGCTCGTTTCGAAACTAAGCTATTCTGAGGTGTTCTTCCACTTCCATTTCTGGCACTCGAAATTTGCGTAGCAGAAGAACTCGTTGCTCAGCCCCTTGGAATGGACAGGCAGGAACGTCGTAGTTGCAATACCTTGAGCTCGATACAGCTTGTTGACGAGTGTCTCCATCCTCTCACCGGTGCACTGGATCAACCGCGAGTGGGTAGCTCTCTTTTCCGGTGCCACACCCCAAGACTTCGATAGCCACCGGACAGTCATAGCAGCTGTTCTAGCTTAGTCTCTATCCCGACCCGAGAGAAGAACCCACTCATACCTTTGGTCTGGCAGTCCTCACTCAAAAAAGGGGGATCACAGATAATATGATCAACACTCGCCTTCATACTCGCTACTCCTTGTCAGTAGTCACCTCCTCCTACCTTCCATACAACAGAAGGGTCAACTCACGTGGCAGCTTCAGCGGATCGTTGAAATCATAGAAAACAAACTCCGGAAAGACCTCGAACCGCCTGTCGAATTCCAAGAGCCACAGCTTAGGCCTCTCGCTCTCCTCTCGGTCACTCTGCGCCTAGCAATCTCGTCAATTTCGTTCCGACAGGTACAAGAATTTGGAGGTAGGGCCGCCGACGGGCGTGGATGGATGGATAGATAAATGGGGGGGGGAGGAACTCAAACCAAGATATTCTTCAACTGTACAAACACACTCGGCGCAGATACAACTGCAATGCTCGTCCCCGCCCCGGCGCCCACCAGCAGCTCCGCAGCTAATGCCTTCGCCGTCTCGTCCGAGTACTACCTCACGCTCACCGATCAGCAAAAGGGCTCTCCTCACTTTTCCAGTCCTCACACCTCATTCTAGCCAGCCAGTGAGCCGTATCCAGATCATCAAAGCACCGAGGACCCGTGATTTCCAGACTGGATAGCAAGAGAGACAGAGGGAAAAGAGAGAGAGTTACGGACCCAGAATTGGCTCTCGTTCCAGTCCTCTGCGAATGCGTCCATGCTCAACGGTGCTTGCTTAGTAGCCGCGTCATGTTTCTGCTCCGCGACATTCTTCAGATCCTCAAATTGCTTTACACGGGCGTCCCGCTCGGCGTAGAATTCTCTGAGGGCAGAAAGCGCTGAGCTGGAGAGAACTCTGTATTTTATATCAGGAATGGCGTAAGCGTAGAGATCTGAAAGGAAGGTTACGGGTTTTCATCGTCAAAGTCATCCATTTTTTTGTGGTGTTTGCAGTCAGGCTGTATGTCATGGGCAAAGGGAAAAATGCTTCGGTACTGTAGGCGAGAAAATTTGCCGAGTTGAAGCCGGTGCAAAGCTCCCCGCGAAAATTAAAAGGGGCAACCACAGGGCCCATGTGACACAGGACTTTGGTAATTTTTATCTTATTAGTAGTACTTCAGAAAATATTCACCGAGTAGTTCTGGGCAATGATCACTGGAGAGCTGTATTGAGGGCTTGAAAATTTTTAACATATGTACAATTGCTATTCAGTTTACTCCGTACATGTACGCCGAGAAGACCACATGCTCTACTGGTCGTCAATAACATGCAGGTATTTCTTCTCTTCTCTTTTCTCACGCTCTGTCGACGGCGGCAAGTCGTAGAATGCAGCGCTTCGATAGCCTTGCTGGAGGGAAGGTTAGAACTAGACCAAGAGTATATATTATGTAACGTGAACTTACCAAATAATGGAAGGTGAGACTGCTGAGCTCAGCCGGTTCAATTCCGAGGTCTTTGAATGTTTTTGCGGAAGGATCGATGGTTTGGTCGATAAACTCACGCTCAACCTCATCAGCGGAGATAACAGGCCACCAGAGAGCCTTGTTCAAGAGCCCAGCGGCTGGCTTGAGGATTGCCTTAGGCAGGTTGATGTGTCGGCGGTGCTTGACGATTTCTTTGTCTACCAACTCGGCGATTTCAGCTGTTGAGTAGTTCTTTGGACCGTAGAGCTCATATGTCTGCTCGGCTGTGCTATCATCGTGGAGCATCTTCTCAAGTGCTTCACCAACATCAATTGCCTGAAGAAATTCATTAGCCATGAACAGTTGGGAAGCACGTATTGAACTCACATGAACAGGCCAGTAACGCTCTTGCATGTGATTAGAGGTGAGAACGTTCGTCACACCAGCGAGCTTGTGAAGGAGTCGGTCCTCAAATCCAAATAGTGGAGCGGGTCTGACAATGGTAGTCTCCGGGAAGATGCTACGAGCAACAGCCTCACCACGTCCCTGGATCACATATTTATATTTTTTCCCGCCTCAATTTTTGATATTTCTGGACTGACCTTGGTAGAGAAGAACTCTGAAGGCGAGTTGACATTTGCGTTGTATGAAGAGACGTGGATGAACCGGTCAACATCGTACTTGGCAACAGCTTCTGCAATTCTCTCGACACCTTCAACATGAACATCTTCAAGGTCAAAGTTCCTAAAGATTGTCAGGGCTTGTCCCAAAACTCAATTCCCAGAACACATACTTGGTGGGGTACATCCGCCCGACGAGGTTGTAGACCACATCAGAATGTCTGACGCTCTCCTCGAGAGATGCGGTATTTCTGAGATCATATTCCTGAAACCAACGTGAGCGGCATCTCATCAAGAAGGCTTGCAAATCCCACCATGAATATAACTCTTCCCAAATCTCCTGCCACCTTCAAATGTCGTTTGGCCATTTCCTCCCGATATGGTATAATGACCGTACATCCTTGCCTGGCTATAACCCTGACCGTCAGCCCCAGACCAAGCCATTGTCTAGTATCGGAAGAAGCGCACCAATTCTGTTGACAATGTATCGTCCGAGGAATCCCGTTGCACCGAAAACGGTCACAGTATGTCCTAGCAATATATCAGTCATGCCCTTCCAGCTGTGGTAGGCCTGCCAATATACCTCCGAGAGAAGATCTGTAGAGCCACGAGTTAGGACAGGCCCAATTGATGCAGCAGCCCAGGTACTGACCTTCCGCCCTGCGTCCGGAGTATAGGCTTGCCGGTTCTGGTGATGGTAACGTCGCTGATGTGCCGGTTCATAGGAGGATTGTTGAGGCTGCTCCGTCCCATCCGCACAGCAGTCCGGAGACTTTTGAGACCCGACGGACTGCAGGACTTCTGCATGGTGGGCGGTTTAGGCAATGTCAATTCTCGGTGGTGGGAGCTGGAAATGCGAATGCGAATGGGAATGACTGAGGTCGTCAGAGTTGAGAACCCTTGCTGAACCTAAGCTCGCGCGGGATTACTTTCGGTCCGGCCCAGGCCCCAGGCACAAGCGCCGCGAATGTTTCCAGCCTGGTCGACACGAGAACAATCAGTCTCTCAACTTCAACATTGCAACCAAAGTCCCAAACCGCAAACCCTCTCCCTCATCCTCCAGCTCTCTTCCTTCGACCTTACCCACCACGCACCACTTTCCAGCTCCCTGTCTTCCACACCACTCTGCCCGCCATGAATATTGATTCGCCGATCCCCGATTTCCTGGCCAACTCGAGAGACGATGCTCCCGCCGAGCTGCAACACTTGTTCCTCGAATTTGAGGATCTGTGGGAGAGGAAGCTCTGGCATCAGCTGACGGATAGACTGGTGGAGTTTTTCAATCACAAAGAGAGCGCCCCTCAACGATTAGCCTTCTACAAGACCTTCATCCTCACTTTCGCCGACAAGATCAACCAGCTCAAGCTCATTACTCTGGCCCTCAGCGCAGCTTCGCAATGCAAAGGTAAGGCTACGACTAGCATCAGGGTCTTGAGCTTCAACTCACGCGATCAATAGATAGCGAGGAGCGCCTCTCCTTCCTGACTGCGGCCGCGAATAAAGTAAACAACCCTAATTCCCAAGATGCGTACGTCTATGCCACCGTGGCATTGGCTACAGCAAAGCTGGAGCTGAAGGACTTGGAAGGAGCAAGAAAGGATTTGGATAAGTCGGAGAAGCTTCTGGACAACTTCGATTCTGTTGAGACGATCGTCCATGCCGCTTTCTACCGTGCCAATGCGGAATATTACCAGGTACGCGCAATGCAGACAGAAAAAAAGTTCCCTGCTAACAGAAGCAGTCCAACCTCGAATTTGCATCCTACTACCGGAATGCACTCCTCTACCTTGCCTGTATCGAAATCACCGATTTGTCACCAGCAGAGCGCAGAAGCCGGGCTTATGATCTTTCCATTGCGGCCCTAGTGTCCGACTCAATTTACAACTTTGGAGAGCTGCTGTTGCACCCAATTCTCGAGGACCTTAAGAAGGACGACAAGTGGCTCTATGACCTCCTGTTTGCATTTAACCGTGGAGACTTGGCTGCTTACGACATTCTCGCCGGCCACATTTCCTCAAACACTCTGCTCGTACAGCACCGCGATAGTCTCAGACAGAAGATCTACCTCGCAGCCCTCACCGAAGCCGTTTTCCGCAGACCTCCACACGACCGCGAAATGTCCTTCGCCACCATCGCCGACGAGACCAAGGTTCGCCCCAATGAGATTGAACACCTGATCATGAAGGCCTTGAGCTTGGGTCTTTTGAGGGGAAGCATCGATCAGGTAGATGAGATTGCGCGGATCAACTGGGTACAGCCCAAAGTGTTGGACATGAAGCAGATTGACGCTATGCGCTTAAGACTGCAAGAATGGGATTCGAGTGTCAATCAATTGGGCAACTGGATTGAGGCAAAGGGGCAGGATGTATGGGCTGCCTAACTTGGTATGGCATGGCGTCTGGGTATGATGAAAGCTGGCTGGGATGTACAATAGATATCTCTAATCATGAGACATGCATTTTTCTTTACGCACAAGATACTTCAGCCGTGTAGGCATGAAGTTCACATTTGCAATAAAAGAACCAACAAAAAATTACATGATTCTATGGTCTCGTAATGAGGTGGCTTGAAAATCGACGAAAGTACTTGAAAGTCAAGGTATATAGTCTATTCCCAGCATACGATTTGTATCGAGCCTTGTTGAGACAGACGTGGGTGTCGGAAGCTCAGGAGTAGTGTTCTTCCGACCAATTCCAATGTTGCCCGATTCTGGCGACTTTGGAATATGTGCAATATTCGAAGCTGTGTTGGATCCTTGTTTGTCACCAGTATGATGCAGTCTCCGGGAAAAGCTGTGTATTCTAGTATTCTAGGTATATGAATGTGTGAGGATCCAGACGCTGTCTGATATCAAGAGTGTCTGATCCGAACGAAGGCTAAAGAGATACAAATCACGGATGAACAGCTGATGCAGTCTAGAATTTTGCAGTCCGGATGTCTAATATCCTATCCTTTCACGAGCTTTACCTCAACTTCCTCGCCGTCTTCCCTCGGTCTCCCAAACAACACAATCATCCCAATCAACCAAGCGGGCCACCAGACACACCACACCATGACCTGGGTATTCATCCCCCAAACATCCCAGCCAAACGCCGCCTCCTTCAGCACATGGGTAATACTCAAACCCCAGTATTTCGTTCCCACCACGACGATCGTGGTAGGCGCTAGCATAGTCAATGGGATCGCTAGAATGCCGGCCATGATTGGATGGCGAGGTAGAGGCTGGATGTAGGTTAAGGGGGTGGAAAAGAGGCCTATGAGGAAGGCGAGCGAGAAGTTAAGGGTTGCAAGAGCCGAGAGGAACATGCCGAGAAAGAGGAGGGAGAAGGCTTTGATGAGCGTGTATTGTTGCCGGGTAGGGACGAAGTAGGTTACAAGAGCGTAGGAGAGGAGAAAGGGGAGGACGCAATTGAGTAGAGCGGAGAAGATAAACATTGCTTGCAGCATCTGGAGCAGTCAGCTATGTACCGAAGAGATGGGCTGTGAATCTTACATTCTGAGGCGTGTGATTGAAAACAAAAAGGGGTAAGACTCCAAGGAATTGGATGGCGGCTACAATAGCCAGAGGAAGAAACAGCTCTCTTTCTCGGACGATGACAACCTCCTCTGAGACGAGAGCCTTGATTCCTCCTTCCTTTACCATGACCAATGGCTTCTTTTCAGCCTCAGATGGAGACGCTTTGGCTGACATTTTTGGCGAGCCGCTCTTGATCCAGAGAAAGATTGCCATGATAGTAAAGTTGACAGCCACAAGCATCGCGCTTGGGAGGTAGGTTCCAATGCTCACAAATCGATTGGACTGCATGAGCAAGTAAAAGAAGAAACTCTGGTGGAGATGCTCCAGCAAGTTGTTGAGACTTCGGAACGTGCTTTCAATGACTCTTCCCATAGCCATCTCATCTTGCCAACCTTCTCCAAAAGGCTGCAAGGTAATGGCGTCTACATGGTAGGGAATGAAGCTGCTGTGAGGCCCGGAAGCATGTCCGAGGCCTTGCTTCAACATCCCTCGAAGCATAGTCTGAAGTCTATCGTGGTAGCTGTCCGAATGCTTCCACATCTGTTGCAAGGAGACTCCGATTCCCATTTGACCGCTTGCAATAGATACTACAGTGTTTAAGAGGTCCAGGTTGGGAAGTTGGCCGTTGGTACCGTCGTAGACGACATGGATAGACTCGAATCGGTGGTCAAACGGGTAGTCGATTACGACAGCACCTTGCAATGCGCCGCTCTTCAAGGGAAGAGAGTCAATGGCTGGAGATTGGTGAGTATCGTGGTACGCATCGACCCAAGCCTGCGGTCCAGCCGTGCTATCGGCTGTGACCAAAAAAATGATATCCTTCGACCAGAGAGACCACCTTTTGAAATACCGGGCTAAAGTGAGAACGAGAGCCACCCCACTTCGATTGAGTTCATTCTCAATGTTCTTCCAAGCTCCAACAAGAACAATAGCTTCTGTAGCATCTCCTCTAGGAGCATGGAGTATGGCGTATATGTTCTCCCCCGAATACGTCTCCCCTGCAGACTTGTACCTGTAACTTTGCCTTGCAACCTTCAACCCGGAGGCCTTGAAAAACTCTTCCAACTTGTCGTTCACCCTAGACTGCTATCAGCTCCGGAGTCCACTCGCATTGCCAGGCTTGGTACTCAATGTTGCTCCTCCCCTCCAGCGCATCAACCTCGTGCTTGTACCCTCGGAACACATTCTGGTCGCTCCCAGCGAAATACGTGTGGACCTGGCCGGGCAGCAGCGCGTTCTCGGAAATGTATGTCTTCCGTGAGTAGTCGTTCAGTGGTAGGACGAGGAGCCATGCGACGCCAATGACTATGCAGAGAAAGGACAGATATGGAGGTAATTTGAGGAATAATGGATTGTGCCGTAGCAGAACGCCCGAAGCTGTGAGTTGTTAGCAAGACGCAGGACAAGCCTTGGAGAAACTTGCATAACAGAGAAACCATATTCAAAGAGAGATACGTGCTGATGGCGCGTTGGACATCCCGAGGCTTTATGGATGTTGAGCTGAGGTCGCGCTCTCGAGTCACTTCAGCCAGGCGGACGCGACTGCAACCAATATGGGGAACTCAGCTCTACACGAAAACTTTGGATCTTACTGTATGTACTATGCAGCTTGAGGAGACGAAAAATAGATTAAACTTATGGCATCGAACTTTTACAAAGTCGCCATTGAGCAAGCAACATTTAATCAGTGTTCATTTTCATATTCAAACTCGATGACTTGGACTCCCATCATATATTCGCAATGCCCGTGACAGGCTGACAGGCATACCACTTCCCGAAACCTCCAACGCCGAATTATGCCTGGTCTTTGTACAACAAGAAAATCCTCACTCTTCACCTCGATCCTTGCCAGCTATTAATGAGCTTCTTAGGGTCCTAACCTCTGCGAGCTAGCTACATAGCCTAAAGCAACCTCTCCCGGTATTGCCGGATTGGTGGTAGGGAGCACACCATACCGTCCATATGTCTTCTGGTCCACGGAAACATAATGCGGAAGTCGCCCAAGCAGATTTAGCTTACCTTCTATCCATCGGAGAACCCGCTCCGGCGGTGCGAGGAATTTGAGATATCCAAGAGCCCCTGGTAAAGTCATCAGCACTCCCCAGGGTACTGAGAGGAAAGTTTCACTTACATCCATAACCAAAAGCGAGCCCACACAAATGACCCAAGAAACTGGTATTGGGGATCAACACTGAGACGAACAGTACCATCACGATCGGCGTTATCCAAGTTGGGATTTGAGTCGTCCCAAGCATAAAGTAGGGGTTGGATTTGTAGGTCTTGACAGCCTCCATTGCGATCAAGGTGAATACCCATATACTATAGAGGCTATTAGAACCTAGACCCGCTTCTACCATGGGATCTGCTGTGACCTATACCTAGCCCCAAGTATTGTGGTGTTCATATGAAAGATTCCTCTTTCGATGAATGTGTATAGAAGCGCCGGAATCGTGGAAAGAGCTATAATCCCCATCAGCAATGCGCCTCCAAGGTCGTAAAGTAGGCTCGATGAATGGCGGATCACGTACGACCCATGAACAGTGCCAGTGTCGTCAGAGTCCCATATTCCGCCTCGAATCTTTCCAGCAAGGGTGTCAAAGACAGGGTGTTCAAGAAGGCGTGGAAGAAGCCGACGTGGACGAGTGGAAATGTGTTTGTCCTATACACTGAATAAAGAGAATTAGCTTAACCTCGAAAGCGAAACGCGATTGTCCCTGAAGAAAGCCTGCGTACTGGTACTCAGTCCGATCTCGCCGGGTATCAAAGCTCCCCATTGCTGCACATCCCAAACGGACTGTATACTCGCGATCCAAAGTCCAGTAATAGCAATTATGACACATCGAGTAAACAAAGGAATTCGGAAAATGTATGAGCGCAATCGAGTGGCAGGGAACGAAGGAAGAGAGGTAGCCATTGCAAAAGGTCAGAACTGTCCTCAACCGTCGAGCTGGGTAACTTCAACTAGGAGGGCTGGAGGATTCAGCACTCGGAGAGCAAGTTCGGGGCCGTTTCAGTAAAGAAGAGAATCGATATCCCATATGGTGATTGCCTGCTTGCTTGGATCCAGAGCAGAAAAGTGATGTGTATGTGAGGAAAGCTTTTGCCGGCTGACTGAACCCTGTGATTCGAGGCTGAAATGGTGACAAGGCTGCGGACTAATAACAGCATTCGATATTCTTGCTTCAATCTTTACCAGAATCCCTCTTCAATAAGCTCACGAATCTAGATTTCAAGAAAGAATAATTTTGATAACATATTACCTATTTTACATGCGTATGGAAAGTTCATTCGAAAATTCTTCAACTAATTAAAATACTGTGCCAAATGCTGATGAGGCTACTGAGCATAGCTCCAGGTCCGGGGAACGAAAGGCTATGTCACCACTTTTGAAAGATAGGTAGTGCCACTTCTAAAAGATAGTGCATTAGCTCCACCGTATATTGAAAATCTTGAACTGAAAGCCTCCTAGTTGCAGATCCTAGATGTATACACCAATTTCTTCTAATTAGCGGGTATTCTTGAACATCGAGACGTAGTTGAGCATAATACACAGTACTTCCTCGCTTGCCTTGGCAACATTGTTCACTGGGAAAAGACCGAAGTATTGAGGATTACGTTCATGAATTTCGTTTTTACAAGTAGGGAATATGCATCGATACCTAGGGAAACGCACCGATCCATTCGCAAAAATACAACTTCACTAAAAAAGACCTAACACCATCCTCCCACGCCCTTACGACGCATTGGCCTTGGCCATAGTGTTGAGTGCCGACCCGTTCTTGAACCACTCGATTTGGGGAGCGTTAAACGTGTGAGCCAGCTTGATGTCGAATGTCTTGCCGTCTTTGGGGTGCACTCTTAGAGTCATGGGCTTTCCAACTGCAATTTCGGTGCAGAGAAGATCAACCTTATCGTAGGGCTGGATCTTCTCATAGTCCTCAGGGTCGACAAAGGTCAACGGAAGCATACCTTGCTTCTTCAAGTTGGTCTCGTGGATACGGGCAAATGAGCGGGTGATGATGGCAAGACCTCCCAAATGTCTCGGCTCCAAAGCAGCGTGTTCTCTTGAACTTCCTTCTCCGTAGTTCCAGTCTCCAATAACAACCCAGGGAATTCCCTTCTTCTTATAGTCTCGAGCGGTAGCGGGTACGGCCCCAAACTCCCCTGTGGTGAAGTTCTTGACTTCGTTGGCTTTACCATTCGCGGCATTCGTGGCACCAATCAACATGTTGTTGGAGATGTTATCCAAATGTCCACGGTACTTCAACCAAGGACCGGCCATAGAAATGTGGTCAGTGGTAGTCTTTCCCTTACACTTTATGAGAATCGGAAGGTCCAGGGCATCCTTCCCATCCCACGCGGTGAAAGGCTCGAGCACTTGAAGTCTGTCACTGCTAGGCGATACAGCGACGGAAACAGAGTTGCGGTCTGCGGGAGGAGCTTGGTAGGTGTTCTGTCCTGGATCGTAGCCGGCTGATGGGAGACCTGCACCGGATGGTGGAGACAGGAGGAACTCGTTTCCGTCCTTGTCCTTCAGCTTGTCGGTGAGGGGGTTGAAGTGAAGAGATCCGGCGATGCTGAGAGCAACCACAAGATCTGGCGATGTGACAAAACTGTGAGTGGAGGGATTGCTATCGTTGCGACCTTCCCAGTATTAGCAAACCGATGCGTGATAGTTTACACACATAAATTACCTGTGAAATTGCGGTTGTAGGATGAGACGATGGAGTTTGCTTGACCCTTGGCCACGTCTTTACGATCCCACTGCCCGATGCAAGGTCCGCAGGCATTTGCTGCAGAGTTTATTAGATTTTCGATATGATTAATGGGGCTGGAAACCTACCAAGCACGACTCCTCCAAATTCTTCGAGGATCTCCAATTGACCATCACGGGCAGTTGTAGCACGGACTGGATAATGATGAGCAAGGTCACATATCAGACATGGGTACTATGAACGAAGACTTACTTTGCTCAGAACCTGGGGTAACAGTGAAGAGAGATTTGGACTTAAGACCATGGTCGAGGGCATCTTTGGCAATCGACGCAGCGCGGGAGAAATCTTCGTAAGAAGAGTTGGTACAGGAGCCGATCAAACCGACTTTGAGCTCCTCGGGCCAGTTATTAGCCTTGACAGCCTCGCTGAATTTGGATATGGGAGTAGCAAGATCGGGAGTGAAAGGGCCGTTGATGTGTGGCTCAAGCTCCGATAGGTTTATCTCGATCAGCTCGTCGTATTGAGCACCCTCATCCTCGCGGAGTTCCTTGGCGTATGTGCGGGCAAAGTCACCGATGTCCTTACGCTTGGTAGCAGCAAGGTAATCGTACATGCGATCGTTGAAGGGGAACAGGGATGTGGTTGCTCCGATTTCAGCGCCCATATTGCATATTGTCGCCATCCTGTAGAAATTTCAGCTCGAGTATGCATGAATAAAAACGGAGAATCTAACCCGGTACAGCTGATTGATTCGGTACCAGGACCACTATATGCGAAAGTCAGTATGTCGAATGCCACAAGGAGCTTGGGCCATTTACAAGTACTCAACAATAGCACCAGTTCCTCCCTTCACAGTCAAGATTCCCGCGACTTTCAGGCTGGAAGTATCGCAGTTAGTATAGTTCTGCTCAAGAAACAAATAGGAAGCCTCCGAATCATGCTCGAGGGAAACATCGAGCCATGACAGAAAGCAAAATCGTCCATGAAATCGTCCATGGAGAAGCACAAACTTACATAATGTCTGTTCGAGGTTAGCAATGCACCCCAAGTCAGTAGTTGGAATATGCATCAACGTACCCTTAGGTGAAGTCCATCCAGACATCTCGCCGGTCAATTTGATACCAATGACCTTTGGAGCCTTCAACTCCCATGGCAGATTGGCCATAACGTCGACAGCATCAGCACCACCTTGCAAACTAAATCAGCACTGAAAAATCGCGTTTGAAAGTAACAGATAGGACATGGGCAAGCCACTGTCGGCAATTCAGGTATTCGAGTAGCTTACCAACTCCAATGGCTGCCATGCCTAATCCACCAGCATTGGGTGTGTGCGAGTCAGTACCAATAAGAAGACCGCCAGGGAAGGCGTAATTCTCAAGTATGATCTGATGAATGATCCCAGAGCCAGGTCTCCAGAAACCAATGTTGAACTTTGCGCAAGATGTAGACAAGAAGTCGTAGACCTCCTTGTTGATCTCGGTGGCGCGCGCCAGATCCTTGACACCGCCAGTCTGTGCCTCGATCAAATGATCACAATGGACCGTGGTAGGGTTTGCCACTGAGGGCATACCGGCAGACATGAACTGCAGAATGGCCATCTGGGCTGTGGCATCCTGGCATGCGACACGATCCGGGCGGAGCTTCAGGTAGGAGACACCACGCTCGATCTCTTGTCCGTGCGGGTCGTCGAGATGGGAGTAGAGAATCTTTTCTGCGTATGCGAGGGGACGGTTCAATCTGGAGCGGACAATCGCGAGGTTCTCGGACATCTTCTTGTAGTTGATGAAGTTGCCCTCTTCGTGGATGTTCTGCTTCACCTTCTTGTCGAGGGGAGCATCGCTGACAGTCGCCATGCGGCGGATGCCATGGGCAATGGCTCGCCGCTGAGTAGCAGCGAGAAGCTGTCGCGAGGTGGACAGCATGGTGGGTAGACTTGTAGGAGGAGATCTTTGGAGGAGGAAACTTGGAAAGGAAAGAGAAAACCGAGAGAAGCTCTTCTGATAATGAGCCGCCGGCTGCGGGATGGATCTCGGCTACCTAGGGTGGGTGGGTCAGACGCTAGGAAGTGGGGCCGCTACGGCCAATGGCGCACGCGCAATTGGTTATGTCGGGATGCTTGTGACTGATGAGCTTTTGTAGTAACCATACGCACTTTTCTATCATGGAGTTGTTGGTCAGATATATATATATCAAGAGCAATTCCTACATATGGCTATCTTCCTGACCATTGCCAACCCCAAGGCGGGCTTTGTGATCATAAATATCCGCATATATATAGAGATATATAGATATGGACCGCCGTATACGGAACTACTATCAACCTCGGGTGACGGAAGCAGGTGGGGAAATGCGGGCTAGCGCGAAAATTCCTGCGGTCTGCAGGCCAGCTTCTAGCTCGGTTTATCGTTTACCACCGGAGCCTTCGTGGACTTGGCTGATACGCGAGTGATTTTTGGTTTTATCCCCGAACCGAAACCGATCCGAACCGCAAGGTGAAAGAAATCTCAGACCATCAGAACCAGCACTTTATCTGGCCCTCTCGTCCTTCCCGCAAGATGGGAATTCCCCAGAAGAAAACCAAGACCAAGACTCGGAGAAGATTGAGGTGAGCGTTATTCCAAACTCCTGGTGATTCCTCTCCCCGCCATGATAATTTTAACTGACTTTTCCGAAGGGATCTCGATCAGATCAAAGCTGATATCGCCTCCCCGAAACATCTCGAGCAACACAAGAGCACCAAAGCTCCTGAGGATCTGCCAGGTCTGGGCCAATACTACTGTCTCGAGTGCGCAAAATGGTTTGAGAGTGAGCACAGTCTGGTTACACATCGCAAAGGAAGCACACACAAGAGACAGTACGCATCTTCCAGAAGTTGTCACTCTTCCAGACTCTTTCCGACACTGATTCTGCCCCAGGGTCAAAGCATTAAAGGCGGAACCATACACGCAAAAGGAAGCCGAGGCAGCCATTGGGCTCCGAACAGACAATGGACCTAAATTAGCCGCCAAACAGAATACCTACGATGTGGAGGCAGAGATGGAGAATTCGGGCTTTGTGGAGGATACTTGAAGACGTCACGCTCGATCAACATGGTAAACCAGGCTGCCAGCCTTTGGCCTTCGGGATATTGCAGTGTATCATATTGGCCTATTTTCGCTATTTCACACTGCGACCCTTTGCAGCTCTCGCCAGACCGCTGCCCCGCGTTCCTCTGAGCCCACCACGAACTGCCCCACCTCTTCCTGCAGGTCCCCCTCGGCCTGCGCCGCCGATCTTCGAAGCTGGAGCGGGTATGGAGACTTTCGACGTCGCTTTAGAGGATGTCGGTGGATTATCGATGAAGGACGTGTCCGTGGTCCTGCAGAGAGTAAGCCGTAGCAATCATAGGGAATGCGATTGACTTACAGGAACGTCGTTTCTCCGTCCATGATTTCATAATCACCGCGGGATCCTGTCGAGCGTCCTACGTACTGTGAATGAAAGCTAGCGAGATACGGCAACGGCCTACCTAGTTGATCCTCTTGTTCCCTTGCTCTGCGAAAGGAGTCCGATATTGGGGCCTCGTATATGGTCAACAAGGGCAGCGCGTTCATCTATATGACACTCACTTCAGGGAAATCAGTTGTAAAAGCGTTCATATTCAAGCCGTACAAGAAACTGGCAAAGTTCTCGGAAAAGCGCGACAGGCTGTCGTTGAGAACCTGCAAATTCATGAAGTTTAGTTCCAAATCGGCCATGGAATCTGAAAGCTCCGCGAACGACGGCTCAAAGGCTTCCAGGGGCGCATAGGATCCCCCTCCAGCGCTGGCTTTCCCAGATTCACGCAACGAGGACCGAGATGAGGGTCGCAGGGGGGTCGTTGGGCGCGAAATGGGTCGTCTGCGAGTGCTTCCTGTCTGTGGGGTGGTCGAAGCCATGATGGACCATGTGGTGGTGGTGGGGTGGTGGCTGTCGCACGGCTGGGCCAACTCGAATATTTGGGATGGATCAATGCACGCGAATTGAGATACTTGGCTTCGGAAGTTCGTTCGTGGATGGAAGATCGTGTCGCGGTCGTCAAGGTTGTTGCCCAAGCCAACGCGTTGACCAGCAACTGTAAGGGTGTCGCGTGCTGTCAGTGTTGATATTCACGTTGTAAATATCTACCCCGGCTTCCATGTACCTCCGACTCCGAGCGCCCCTCATCCCGTGACTTGCCGGCTGTGAAGCCGAGCCACAGAAGAAATTGTCAAGTAGGTAGGTAAACGGACGGGCATGCGAAGGGCCCAACCCTCGTCTCCCAAGCACCTAGGTATCTGCCGTCGTATTGTCGAGTCCACACCCACACCCACTTCATTAATATCTTCCGCTCCTCTCCTCCTCCTCCTGTCTTCCCATGCCCAAGCTTCTGCCTGTCACTCGGTCTGATTTAATTCAATTACGCCGCGGACTCGCGACCGTCGCCTCCATCTCGCCCTCGCCCTCGCACCCCCCGCCTTGGTATATCTTCCGCAGGCGCAACGCTGCACTGCCACCCGTTCGACAATTTACCCCGCGATCCTACAACTACCATAGCGGCCCAACCGCTCCGCGTCTCCTTGCCCAAAGAATCCACCATTCGAGGTTGTACAGCGCGAGGCTATCATCTTTTCCTGGGACTGGAGACTCTCAGGGCCCGAGAAAGCAGCAGTCGTCCATTAAGCCAGGCCAACAGCATCTTCACACCAAGAGTCCTCTGGCGCCACCCACTCCGCAGACTGTCAGGAGTTCATTTTCCTCTTGGACGGCGATTCTGTTACTCTGCGGTCTTGCTGTCTATTCAGTATTGCCTGCTATCGAACGCCCCAACACCAAAGAGGTCGAAGAAGGAATCCTCTCCCATTCTGTAGACCGTACTGATCAGAGACCCGACAGTATGACAGGAGAAGCACTTCCAGGTCGGCCGGGAACGTTAACTCCAACGGAGGAGGAAAAACTTCGAGAGTTCTGGATCGCGACACTCCAAGTCTTTGGAGTTATACCGAAGGAGAGGGATGAAAGCAAGGAGACTAGAAGCGCCAAGACGGATTCATCGGATTCTAAGAAGCCAAAAAAGAAGAAATTGTCGCTCTTCCGGAAAACCAAAGAGGAGGACCCTGAAAAGGTCAGTTCACCACAAAACGCCGAGGACGACAAATACGGCCAAACGAAGGAGTTCCAGGATGCGTTGTCAAATATGTCTCCCGAGTTGCTCCGCGCCACATTCTGGGGCATGGTGAAACACGATCATCCAGATGCTCTTCTCCTGAGATTTCTGAGAGCAAGAAAGTGGGATGTCGACAAGGCATTGGTGATGATGGTCTCTACTATGAGATGGAGATCAACAGAAGTGCGTGTCGATGATGACATCATGAAGAACGGCGAGCTGGGCTACCTGGAAGATTCAACTGGCACTGATGCTGCGAAGAAAAAGTTGGGCCACGATTTCCTTGCTCAGATGCGCTTGGGGAAGAGTTTCTTGCACGGGTTGGATAAATCTGGGCGGCCAATGTGCTTCGTCCGAGTGCGGCTGCACAAACAGGGAGAGCATAGTGAGGAGAGTCTGGAAAAGTATACAGTCTTCGTGATAGAATCTGCGCGTATGATCCTATCTCCCCCTGTTGATACTGCTGTAAGTGTCGTGTCGAGACCAGTTTTGGAACAATGGCTGAATTAGATGTAGTGTATTGTCTTTGACATGACAGGGTTCTCCATGGCAAATATGGCAAGTCGTCAAGGCCGAGCTTAAAGCTGTTTGAGAGTTTCGCTAATATCATAACAGGATTATGGTCCAGTGAAGTTCATGATCAAATGCTTTGAGGCGAACTATCCAGAATCCTTAGGCGTTGTCCTTGTCCACAAGGCTCCATGGATTTTTCAGGGTTAGCTTCCAACTCTTCGGTGCCAATCAACCGTACTAACGCATCCAGGCATTTGGAAAATCATCCGGGGGTGGTTGGATCCTGTTGTAGCAAGTAAAGTTCAGTTCACAAACAGTAACGACGAGATGGAGCAGTTCGTGCCCAGATCTCAGATCATCAAGGAACTGGGCGGAGACGAAGATTGGGAATACAAATACATCGAGCCTGTACCAGGAGAGAATGACAAGATGAAAGATACAGTAACCAGAGACAAGCTTCTCAAGGAACGCGAGACCTTAGTCGATCAGTACGAAAAGTCCACTCTGGACTGGATCAATGGAGAGGGCGATGCGGTGTTGGTCAAGGAAACGAGGAATAAGCTGGCCGCAGCTTTGAGGGACGACTACTGGAGACTTGATCCTTATCTACGTGCTAGGACAATTTATGACCGGGTTGGAATGATTCAAGGAGGTGGAATTCTGCAGTTCTACCCCGACAAAGCAGAGGCACCTACGAACGGAAATAAGCCTACAGAAACGTCTGCTGCTGATCTGGACTAATATTTCCTTGCCCAGAATTCGGCGACCAGATATATTTGTCTACATGGTATTGGAAATGTGGCAAGATAGTATTGAATCTCGGTTGTTCTAGAGGCGGTCCACAACGGCATCCGTTATGAAGGATAAATAGAATTGAAGCTGATTGCCCCAGACTAAAAAATAATGGATATTATTGCTACTTGTCACACATTATATCGTCACTCATTCACAAGGTCACTTATTCATTCCCACAAACTCCATCGCTCCACACACACACTATACTCTACATCCTCGACTTGATCTCCGCGAACAGCGCCTTGAGCTTGTCCATGTCCGTCTTCTGCTGCGGCCATCCAATCGACATTCCCTCCTCCTGATTCGGCTTTGGAATCTGACTCGCATTAGCAACTGCTTCCCCTTCCCTCCCATCTGGTGGAAGTCAAATGAAGAAAACTCACCATATGGAAATGCACCTAGCCCCCGCAGAAAACCATTCATTAGCACTCTATTTCTCCTCCCGTGAGAATCGAGTCCCAGGGCGACTTACATGATCAACCACCTGGTGCGCAATCCTTCCATTGTTCTGCAGCACGTTGTAGTTCTCCGCCCCTGTCGCCTTCACCAGCTTCTTCACCACCGGCTATCATAACGCACATCAGCCATTCGCCCGCCACGTCTCTCCCACGGGGATTCCACGTACTAGGATCTCGGACAGTTGGTCGTCCGGGATGTCGGTCAGTTTCTCGCCGTGGAACTTGGGAATCACGAGCTGTCATCCACCCTCTTAGCTAACAAGGATGGGAACAGAAGGGTGGACGGGGGAAGGGATGCGTACGGCGTGTCCTTTGCTGAGAGGATTGATGTCGAGGAAGGCGAAGACTTTGTCGGATTCGAAGAGCTTGAAAGAGGGGATGTCGCCTGTTTGTTTCGTTAGGTAGGATATATGGGAGGGGCAATTGGGGGTTGGGTATGGGGGACATACCTTTGACGATCTTGCAGAATATACAGGCTGCTGCCATTTCGACTGTGGATTATGTGTGGGTTGGGAGGTCTGCGAATGGTAAAACGTGTGTGTGGGAAAGCAGAAGTTACATCTTCAGCTGAGAGCTCGAGGCGGGGTAATAGCTCGAAGCTCCAGGGTCCAGTAGCTGTAGTATATTCCACGTGATTTGAATTCTACAAGTACATCACATATCTCATAGAATGTCACGAAAAATACAGTTTGAATGATACAGCATTGAAATCCTCGGTCAAGTGGAACAACTTGACATCAAAAGTCGACTTCGAGAAATTGTCGAGGCGAAGTCCATGCAACGCGATATGGCTAGCTAGCTCCCTGTTGCTGCGTTGCTGCGCCAACCTGTCTCCTCCAGTCAATTTTGAGGCTTTGATTTTCGATTCGAGCCCCTCGTGATCAGAACATCTTCAGCAATGGCCAGGCTAGTAGTGGAGGATAGCGACGACGAGTTTCCGGATTTGGCAGAGATCTTGAGTCGCAAGACGGAGGTCCGGATCCCCAAACCAGAGTCGCGTACGAAGAAAACAGTGAACACCGATGGCGAGTCTCCGAGCAAGAGAACGGACAGCAGACTCAAGGCAAAGTGGGCAGATGAGTTAGCAGCAGGGAAACCTAGGCCCAGGAAGCGGATCCTGAATCCGACGTCTGATAACCCGCTATTACGTCCGATTGCGAACTTGAGCAGGGGATCTTCTGAATCCTCGGGGAGCTCAAAATCAAAGCTCCACATTTCACCAGAGAGATCAGCCAGGAGGCGGGTTGTAGCTCCTCGGCCATTAGCAGTCCTGGATGCCGAAGCTGTCCCAGAGAACGATGACTCTGAACCTGAAAAGAGAGCTCAGAAAAAAGACCTAAGGAAGCGGACTACGACTCCGAATTTCCAGCAATCATCTGTTTCGGAGCCAGTGAGCGTCGCGGGAAAACATGTGGTTGAGCCCAGAGAAGAGCCTCAGAGCATGGAGGCCAAGGAAGAGAAGGCAAAGGCTCCCAGCAAGCAGACGGTCATTGATTCCGATTCCGATGACGAGGAGTTCGAAGGAGCTTCTGGGCTATCGGATTTCATTGTTGATGACAGCACTTTTCTGGATGAAGAGTCTATCATCCTGCCACCTCCTAGGTCTTCCCGGAAGCTTGTACGAGGAAGAGGGCGGCCGAGAGAACTCGAGGACTCTGATTCGGAGGACTTGGGTCGTGAGATGGCCAGGCTTAGGGTGGATGATGATGTGTTCCAGGTTTCGAAGAAGCGAGCAGAGGAGAAATTTCTGGAAGAGTTTGCAAACGATTACCGCGAGAAAGAACCAGCTCTTCGTCTGAGAGGGCCCAAGACAAATTCCAGGACAAAGAAAGATCCGCCGAGAATAAAAGCGAGAGTGTCGACTTCTGATCTTGAAGATCCCTTTGCCCTCAGATAGTAAGTAAAAAACACCATATCGTAGCCTAAATGTTGTATGTACTGATCGCACTCCCAGCTCGCCAGTAAAAAGCCAGTCCATGAAGACATCCGAGGAAGCACCGTTTATGACACCACCAGGAAGTCCTGTCCTCCAGCCGAGAAAACTCCAGTCCCCCAAGAAAGAGCTTCTCCGTATCCCAGCAACGCCACATCGTCAAAGCACGGACAACTTCTGGAAGCAGGATGTGGTCAATGACTGGAATGACGAGTACTCTCCTCTGAAAGTCCTCCAACCAAAGCCGAATCCTCTGCCAAAGGAACATCCGTATCCTAAAAAAAGCCCCGGGAAGCTTGACCGGGAAGCGAAAGAAGCTAAGAAAGCATTCTCTCAAACGAAGCATGCACTTGCTGATTCCTTTCTGACCGAGCTCGACGCCAAAATTACCAACGGCGAGATTGCTAGACTTGCTGCTTCGACCGGGGGCGTGAAGATCATCTGGAGCAAGAAACTCAACACTACCGCCGGCCGAGCGAACTGGAAACGCGAGACGGTCAAGCCCGCACCTGGCTCCACTGATGTAAAGTTGATACATCGACATCATGCTACTATTGAGCTGGCCGAGAAGGTCATTGATGACGAAGGGCGTCTGCTAAACGTCCTTGCACATGAATTCTGCCACCTGGCAAACTTCATGGTCAGTGGTATCAAGACCAATCCTCACGGCAAGGAGTTCAAAGCCTGGGCAGCGAAGTGCTCCCGGCATTTTGGTGACAGAGGGATCGAGGTTACGACCAAGCACAGTTACTCGATCGACTACAAGTATGTGTGGGAATGCGTGAACTGCAGTACGGAGTTCAAGAGGCACAGCAAGAGTATTGACCCGTCGAGACACAAGTGCGGGAGTTGTAGGAGTAAACTGGTGCAAACCAAGCCCGTGCCGAGGGCGAATGCTGGGACATCGAAGGTCAGCGAGTACCAGTTGTTCGTGAAGGAGAATATGAAGAGCTTGAGGGAGGAGAACCCAGGTAGTCCTCAAAAAGAGATCATGGGTCTGGTAGGAAAGAGATACCAAGCCTTCAAGGCGTCGAAGCATCAGCTGGGAGGTGATGCGCGGCTAGAGAGTGTTGATATTGAGGATGATGTTAGGACTAAGGAGGGGACTCTGGATGATGATACCCGGCTTGTCGTGAGGAAGCTTGACTTTCTAGACCTGACGAGTCCATGATATAGATCGTAGTTCGGCAGAACACATTCGAAGTCAGAGCATGTATCAGTATCCCTTCCATCTGAGATTGAATTTCAACCACCTCATGTCGCTCTGTCTGCTGGCCGTGGTTCCATCCATCATAACCTGTGGCCCATCTGATAAAAAACAATCGCTAGAAACCATCGCAACGCCGCATCCATAGAAGCAGTGCTCTCTACTTCCAACACCTCCCCCCAACACCCCCAATACCGGCCCCTCCGCCCCCGTTTAATCCCATCAGACCTCATTGAACAGACCCCAATCCTTGATCTTGAACGTCTCCCAGATCTTGGCCGCATACTCCACCGCACTCTCAATCAGCTTCCCCTGCTTCCCCATCTGCATATCCACCTCCTCGACCGTGTACTCGCCCTTGATATGCGGTACGTTGATCGTGATGAGGATATCGGTGCTCTCCCTCTCGAGCCGCACCAGCGTCAGCACGATGGCCGTGAAATCCGGGCTCTTGGAGCCCGGCTGGGGAGGTGGCGTCTGCGTCGCGATGAGGGTGTAGGCGGGGGTCTTGTCGCTGGACGGGATCACGTGCGTGTCAGTTATCAATAAATCAATCAATAAATAACAACCCCGCGCGAGGCAGCAGCAGTATCAGCAGCGGGGTGGCCCCAAAAACCCCCCCAAAAAGATAAAAAAAAAAAAAAAAAAAAAAAAAAATTTAAGGAGGAGACGCACGGCAGTTTCGAGAATTGCGTGTTGGACGTGTTCCACACCTTGACGGTATCGTCGTCGGAATCTACTATGTCCTCGAGGTGCGTGGTCAAGGCCGCGCCATCGACGGCTGGCCCGGTGCCCGGTAGACCAACCCGCTCGGTGATGTCGAAGATGATGCTGGTGAAGCCATCTTTGTCCAGGTAGACCTCTTGATGGTCGGGGACTTGACGGATGGTACTATTTTTTGGGGGCGGAAGAGGGGACGCCAGTATTAGATTCAGGCTGGGATTTGTGGTGGTGGTGGCATGAGGATATATATATATACGTACCTAACGTCGGCAAAGCTGGAGGGGAGGTCGACGATGAGGGCGCCGCCGAAGAGGGGCGTGCTGGTGTATGTGGACATTTCCAGTTCCGAGTTGTGGATGTGGATTGTGCTCGCCTGAGGTCTGAGGTGAAATAAAGGTGGTAGTGTTGTTTGTTGTATTTGGTCAGGTCGGGGGTTGAATGGATCAAAAGTTAGCATCCAGGCTCGTTGTCAATGATGATCTCGGGAGCCGCAGCATCACGAGTACCGGTATCAGTTCAATACCTAGGTATGAGTAGCGGATAACACAAGCAGGATGGTGTTCATAGTTTAACAGTCTCCGTATGTAATCTTCGATCACCATTACTTATTTACAACTGACTCTCTACTCTTTGCCTCTGAGCCCCTCTGCTTCTTCAAAGCGGTGAAAGTCCGGGCCCCCGTTCCTCGGCTGCCCAAGAAAGAGACGAAAAAAAGCGTGAAAAACCAGTGTGACACAAAAAAACATGAAAAATATCGCCAAAAAATCTGCTATGCAGAAGATGTGTTTCAAAGATTGGTAGAATGGAGTATTATGGGCATGAGCCACGGTCATCTCTGGTAAAAGGCCTAGACATTGATTAGTAGGGTGGCTGAGTGCTGCTGTATGGGATGAACTTACAAGAAATGAATTCTGAACTAGCTTGTCCCACTCCAGGGTAGCTCCACCCTTTAAGATGATCTATGTACAAGAAAATTCGGTCCTTCTGTCAGCACATCAGTCTGTGTCGCTCTTCTATTGTCAAAGAACACGATCACTTGGATGAAGGCCTGACTGGCGGCCATTTTACTGCCATTATGTTTTGGTCGGCGGAGACTCCATTTTCTGGAGATTTTTGAGATTTCGTCGCTCGCCGGTCAATGGCATATTATTTGATTGGTGTGACTTTGTACAGCATGATAGGTAGGCGAACAACTACCGGAGCTCCTTCGTCTGCACGCGCTGGACTACAAGTCAAGTCTGCCCACGGAAAATTCGCAGAACAAGATACACAATCCACGCTTTCTGACCTTGAACTTTCAGTTTCCACTGCACTACCTGCCCTGATGAGAGCCTAGCTAGTGAATCTTGCTGGACGTCTGAAGGTCCTACTTGAATCAATCTTGGCATCGATCGAGGCCTTGCTTTGGGCGAGATACCACTTACTATATGTCTCCGCCCAAAAATGATGGCCTTTGAACCATTTCGTTCTTCCACCTTTTACCGTGGTAAGAAGGCAAATAAAGCAGGTAGCTCTCTCTTCTCTCTCTCCTACTTTTCGAGAGCCTTCCCATCATCTCCCCCTCCCATCATCTCCCCTTCCCATATCCTCTTCGACACTCTTCAAAACCCCTCTTTAGCGTAAACGGCAACCGCAAGCTCTCCTCTTTGGCAGAGAGATTTCCGAAGCCCACCAAGGTGTGTACGGACGCACGATCTCAATTTGACCATTTACTAATCCTGATACTAGGAGCACACTCACTCCGTTCTCTTTTGAACCTGCGGTGATTCCTCTGGCTTACATATACCTACCTATCCACGTATCCATTTGTCACCCAGAAATCTCTGCCACCCGTGACAGGGTATTCTGGGACTCCGCAGGTATATTTACTCAAGTCTGTCCCACAGCGCAATGGCACATGAACTAGCTTCTGTACCAGTCGTTCCAAGAATCCTCTTGGACCATTCTAAAACACCACCAACCACCATGGACACCATCATTGCGCTCATGGTGACCCTCTGGTGGATCCGCTTGAATCTTATACCGCCATCAAGGATGCACCCGATCTTTCGGAAGGTCCTCTGTAGCGAGGAGTTCCTAGAGTCACTGGTGTCTCTCTCTGGCATCCGTGTCATCCGCTCCTTGTCTCTTGGAGAGCCGATCAAGTCGGCGATACGCCCCTTGCCGTTCCTGCCAGTATACAATGCAGTGCATACGCACTTTTCTTGAAAAAATCTGGTCATCGTCCGTGTCTGTATGTTTGATGAAGGACTACTACTAGAGGAGGTGTTAACAACCGTGTCAAACCCCATGGGAAAGATTGACACGCCTCTACTACTCATTTTTAGACTTGTTCTGATGTCTATCAAGCCGGCTTCGAGATCTCATCGTCTGGGTTTTCATGCTTTGTTCCACTTCCTACGGTCAGTGTGGTCTTAATTCTGCGCGTACTATTTATGTTACTCGAAGCCACCTTTAATCTTCTCTTTTGGGCAACTTCTACTAAGACTTCTAATCACAATGATCCTGACGCATTGTGTCCTTGGGCAACGGTAACTTCGGCTAAAGACAAGCCCGAATAGGATGGCCTTTGTCCTCACTCCCCCGCGAATCAATTTCCCCGGAGTGATTTCACTCTTTCTGCTGAAGAACTGGTGGAACAAGCTGCAGAAATCGCGGGGAGGAAAAAGGCACTTGGGAGAGTGAACAGGATCACACACAGAAATGCAGATCTCGTTGCATACCGCGAGAAGGTCAATGAGGCCCAGAGAGTATGGCGCAAGCAGGCTGCTGTAGTTGCTTCTCGAAGCAGAAAAAGGCGAGGTACCAGGAAAGAAGGCCGAGCCCCTTCATGCAGACGGAGTGAGCTAGGGAAGCATTGATAGCCTACACACGAACGGTGTTTGTGCCCAATTCCTTGAAAGCCTCTTCCGCCAGCGGATCTGTGAATGAAGAGTCGCTGAAGGTAGTGCCGGTAGAGCTGACATCTTGTCGGTGAGTAAGTGGGCATGGATGGATGGATGGATGCAACAGCAACAACAAAGGAGTGACAAGAGGGCCATCAGAGTTGCGTGGCAGCGGCAAAAGCTGGAGCAGGTACCTCATCATAGCGTCAGCAGTTTCTGTCTGTGGACATGCTTTTTGGTTTTTGTTATTCTTTTTCTCGTTCTTCAATTTCGGTTTTCGAAAATGAAATGGTCACGTTACTTTGGCTGATGTTGATCGTTCACGTTCAAACGTCGGGTGGTCAGGGAGAGAGAATAGGGCAGAGCGACGGGCCGGGATGTGACGGGAATGAATGTCAGGGTGGAAGGGGGTAATACCGGTATATCTACATACGGCAAGAGGTACCGACCGAGCATGCCGGCCGGCCATGCCCGCGAATACTGTACTAGGTACTTCGTTACAGTATCGGTAGCATTACAGAGTACAGATATACTGGTTTATATCCTGATTGTTATGCCTTGATTGGTGATCACTGATGACGGAATGCTTATGATTATGATTATGATTATGATTACAGTGATTTTCCTTGATCCCACATCTAAAAGAAGGCATTCATTATTCACCCATGACTTATTATTATACCTAGATACCGGTATGTGATATCTAGGCAATGCACACGCGTTCGAAGTAATATACGTAGGACGTACAAGTACGGTAGTAATGAAGATCGCGCGTCTGCGGCACGGTGGGTCCCACCCCCTATTTCCGACATGTGCCCTCTTCCAATCAGACGATGGCCAGATGAATATGGCGGTCCAGGATGCCCCATTTCCGAAGCTAGTGTGATTGCCAGTACCCCCCGAGCACCCCACAAGCACCTCCCAAGCACCCCCTTCCCCCCTTCCCCCTTCCCCCTTCCCAATTTCCAAAAGCCAAAGCCAATAACCTTCGCTCTCGCCCTCTGTCTTTCGATCTCCCCCTTTTCGACCTCTCGCTTTCTCTTCTCTCACCCCCATTCACACACCCACATACCGGTAGTAGTAACAATCCCCCCTTTTTTTCGGAGCCAGGTTTTTCGTTCCCATTCCTGCTACTTGTTTCTACTTCTCTCGTTCGCTCCTTTGCTCCTCTCCCGTCTTTCCAACCACGAACCACGTACGTACCGGTACGGTACTCCGAACTCCGTACGCCCACTCGCTCCTTCCCCGGCCAACAAAACAGGTATCTTAGATCTTAGTTCAGCCACCAAACCCAGCCCCGAGCCTAGCTACATTTAGCCTCGACCCCAACCTCACCACCACCCACCACCCACCACCAACCACACCACCCTTCACCACACCCTTCATTCCCGCGCATTCCCGCCTTCGAGAGCAGAATCCTCACGCGTCAAATCCCTCGGCCCTTCGAGGAGAACCTCAATTCCGTACTGACCAGCACTTGACTTCCATCGTCTCTTGCCCCATTGCCTTCCCCCAGTTGCGCAAACGCTTTGAACTGTTAACCCGTCGTTCATATTCAACTTGTTCGCCCCCAACTCGCCCAGCCCTCGTTATTTCCACGCCGACTCGGCCAGCTACCAAAACAACTCCCATTGATTTTCACACACCTCACCGCGACATCCTCGTGGCATCAATCGCTCATTCAATGCGCATCTGAATGGTACGTGCTATCCGCAAGTGTGTTCGTTTCGCCGCTGTCCCCCCCTTTCCCCCCTTCCCGGCCTCAGGAGGTACCTGGGCCAGACATTCCGACAGTGCTTTGCATCTTCCCCATCTTGCATGAGATTCAATCGGCGGCTAACGTCAACACTCCTTCAGCTCATCAGTTGAGAACGATCGCAATCATGTCGGGACATCCACCTGGCCACTCCCAAGGGCAACAAGGCCATTACGACGACGGCTACGGCCACCATCAGCAAGGAAATTCCGATGCATACTACCAGGACGAGCATCAGCAGTACTACGACCACAATGGAGGGGGTCACTACGCCGATCAAGGCCATGGCGGACATCCACAGGGAGGGGATGGGTACTATGACGAGTCGTAGGTTCCCGGAGCACCGGAAACACCGGAACCAGAACTGACCGGGACGCAGGGGCTACTATAACGCGGATGCCAATAACCCATACCAGCAGGAGGGTGGATACTACGAGGGTAACGATGGGCGTGGGCACAACGGCCAATATCAAGACGAGTATTACGATGGGCAGTATTACGATCAAGGAGCCCACGCTGCCGGGCACCACGCCTCACATGGTCAGGGGCATCCGAGGCGACGTGGAGATTCGGAGGAGGATTCGGAGACATTTAGCGATTTCACCATGAGATCAGACATGGCCCGAGCCGCCGATATGGACTACTATGGTCGAGGTGATGAACGCTACAACAGCTACAATGAAAGCCAAGCCGGTGGAAATGGCTATCGTCCTCCCTCGTCCCAAATCTCCTACGGCGGTAATCGTTCGTCCGGAGCTTCCACTCCAAACTACGGCATGGATTACAACAATGTCCTGCCGGCCGGCCAACGCTCCCGAGAGCCATACCCAGCCTGGACCTCGGATGCTCAGATTCCTCTGTCCAAGGAAGAAGTGGAGGATATCTTCCTGGATCTGACAGCCAAGTTTGGCTTCCAGCGGGACAGCATGAGAAATATGTACGATCATTTGATGACCCTGCTCGACTCCCGAGCTTCCCGAATGACCCCAAACCAAGCTCTCCTGTCTCTCCACGCCGACTACATTGGAGGAGACAATGCCAACTATCGAAAGTGGTACTTTGCTGCCCACCTGGACCTCGACGATGCTGTGGGATTCGCCAACATGAAGTTGGGCAAGGGCAACCGTCGAACCCGGAAGGCGAGACGTGCCGCAAAGAAGAAGGCTAATGTGGATCCGCAGAACGAGGCTCAGACTCTGGAGCAACTCGAGGGTGATAACAGCTTGGAGGCGGCCGAGTACAGATGGAAGACGCGGATGAACCGTATGTCGCAGCACGACCGGGTCCGACAGATCGCTCTCTACCTACTGTGCTGGGGCGAAGGCAATCAGGTTCGCTTCATGCCCGAGTGTGTGTGCTTCATCTTCAAGTGTGCCGACGACTACCTCAACTCCCCTGCTTGCCAGAATCTGGTGGAGCCAGTGGAAGAGTTCACCTTCCTCAACAACATCATTACCCCGCTGTACCAATACTGCAGAGACCAAGGCTACGAGATCCAGGAGGGAAAGTACGTTCGCCGGGAGCGAGATCATAGCCAGATTATTGGGTACGATGATTGCAATCAACTCTTCTGGTACCCTGAAGGCATCGAGCGCATCGTCATGGAGGATAAGTCGCGCATTGTGGACTTCCCCCCCGCCGAACGTTACTTGAAGCTTAAGGACGTCAACTGGAACAAGGTCTTCTTCAAGACATACAAGGAGACCCGGTCGTGGTTCCACATGCTGGTCAACTTCAACCGCATCTGGGTCATCCACATCTGCACGTTCTGGTTCTTTACGGCCAAGAATTCTCCTACGCTGCTCATGAAGGGTTACGAGCAAGAGCGCAACAATCAGCCGCCGGGATCGGCACAATGGTCTGCCTGCGCTTTGGCGGGTGCGGTTGCATCTCTGCTCATGATCGGTGCTACCCTTGCTGAGTGGAGCTACGTTCCTCGACGATGGGCCGGAGCGCAGCATCTCACGAAGCGCCTCCTGTTCTTGCTCCTGGTCTTCGCACTCAATCTCGGTCCCAGCGTGTACATTTTCGCCTTCCCCGATAAGCAGAAGGACCGAATGTCCTTGATCCTCGGAATCGTCCAGTTCTTCATCGCTGTCGTCACGGTCTTGTTCTTTTCGTTCATGCCTTTGGGAGCGTTGTGGGGAAGCTACCTCACCAAGAACTCGAGACAATACGTTGCGAGTCAGACGTTCACGGCCAGTTACCCCCGGCTGACGGGGAATGACATGTGGATGTCTTACGGCCTGTGGCTCTGCGTCTTCGTCGCCAAGCTCCTCGAATCGTACTTTTTTCTGACGCTGTCATTCCGTGACCCGATCAGATACCTGTCGACGATGAGGATCTCGAGCTGCCAGGGAGACCAGATCATTGGCACTATTCTGTGCGAGTGGCAACCCAAGATTCTATTAATCCTGATGTTCATCACGGATCTGTGTCTCTTCTTCCTTGACACCTTCTTGTGGTACATCATTCTGAACACCATCTACTCCGTCGCGCGCTCCTTCTACCTGGGTGTTTCCATATGGACACCTTGGAGAAACATCTTCTCGCGTCTACCAAAGCGTATCTACTCCAAGGTCTTGGCCACGACCGACATGGAAATCAAGTACAAGCCGAAGGTCCTGATTTCTCAAATCTGGAATGCCATTGTCATCTCCATGTATCGGGAGCATCTCCTCGCCATCGATCACGTTCAGAAGCTGCTGTACCATCAGGTGCCTTCCGAGCAGGAGGGAAAGCGTACTCTGCGAGCCCCCACCTTCTTTGTCTCGCAAGAGGACCACTCCTTCAAAACCGAGTTCTTCCCCAGCCAGAGCGAGGCCGAACGCCGTATCTCCTTCTTCGCACAGTCGCTCTCCACGCCGATCCCAGAGCCTCTGCCCGTGGACAACATGCCAACGTTCACGGTCCTGATTCCTCATTATAGCGAGAAGATTCTGCTTTCCCTTCGTGAGATTATTCGGGAAGACGAACCCTACTCCCGGGTCACCCTGCTTGAGTACCTCAAGCAGCTTCACCCGCACGAGTGGGACTGCTTCGTGAAGGACACCAAGATTCTGGCCGATGAAACTTCTCAGTTCAACGGAGATCAGGAGAAGAACGAGAAGGATACTGCCAAGAGCAAGATTGATGACCTCCCCTTCTACTGCATCGGCTTCAAGTCTGCTGCTCCCGAGTACACCTTACGCACCCGTATCTGGGCCTCTCTCCGCTCGCAGACACTCTACCGCACCATTTCTGGGTTCATGAACTACAGCCGTGCTATCAAGCTTCTCTACCGTGTCGAGAATCCTGAGGTCGTCCAGATGTTTGGCGGCAACTCTGACAAGCTCGAACGCGAATTGGAGCGCATGGCTCGCCGAAAGTTCAAGCTGATTGTGTCCATGCAGCGTTACGCCAAGTTCAAGAAGGAGGAAATGGAGAATACGGAGTTCCTGCTCCGGGCATACCCCGATCTTCAGATTGCCTACCTAGATGAGGAAGCCCCGCTGGTGGAGGGAGAGGAGCCCCGTTTATACTCTGCGCTGATCGATGGTCATTCTGAGATCATGGAGAACGGTATGCGCCGCCCCAAATTCCGTGTACAACTCTCGGGAAACCCAATCCTCGGTGACGGAAAGTCTGACAATCAAAACCACTCCATCATCTTCTACCGTGGAGAATACATCCAACTCATCGACGCCAACCAGGATAACTACCTCGAGGAATGTCTCAAGATCAGAAGTGTGCTTGCTGAATTTGAAGAAATGGTCACCGAGAACGTTTCACCCTACACACCCGGTGTCGAGAACATCAAGACCGACCCTGTTGCCATTCTCGGAGCCCGTGAATACATTTTCTCCGAGAATATCGGTATCCTGGGAGATGTCGCTGCTGGAAAGGAACAAACATTCGGTACTCTCTTCGCACGCACGCTAGCAACCATTGGGGGAAAACTGCATTACGGACACCCTGATTTCCTCAACGGTATCTTCATGACCACTCGTGGCGGTGTTTCCAAGGCTCAAAAGGGTCTACATCTGAATGAGGACATTTACGCCGGTATGACTGCTCTTTTGCGTGGAGGTCGGATCAAGCACTGCGAGTACTATCAGTGTGGAAAGGGCCGTGATCTCGGGTTTGGGTCCATCTTGAACTTCACTACCAAGATTGGAACTGGTATGGGGGAGCAGATGCTCTCTCGTGAGTACTACTACCTGGGAACACAGCTTCCGCTGGATCGATTCCTGTCTTTCTACTACGCTCATCCGGGTTTCCACTTGAACAACATGTTCATCATGCTGTCCGTTCAAATGTTCATGATCTGCTTAATCAATCTCGGAGCTCTTCGAAACCAGACAATTATGTGCAGATACAACACCAACGTGCCCATCACCGACCCCTTGTTCCCTACTGGTTGCGCCAACGTTCAGCCTATCTTGGACTGGGTTTACCGCTGTATCATCTCCATCTTCATCGTTTTCTTCATCTCCTTCGTACCACTTGTGGTTCAAGAATTGACCGAACGCGGCTTTTGGCGCGCGGCAACACGTCTCGGAAAGCAATTCTGCTCCTTGTCGCCGTTCTTCGAGGTGTTTGTCTGTCAGATCTACGCCAACGCCGTTCAGCAGGATTTGTCTTTTGGCGGCGCCCGATATATTGGTACGGGCCGTGGTTTCGCAACAGCGCGTATCCCATTCGGAGTCCTCTACTCTCGGTTTGCGGGTCCGGCAATCTACCTCGGTGCACGATCCTTGATGATGTTGCTCTTCTCCACCTTGACAATTTGGCAACCGGCCCTGATCTACTTCTGGGTCACCCTCTTGGCCATGTGTGCTTCCCCATTCATCTACAACCCCCATCAGTTTGCTTGGAACGATTTCTTCATCGACTACCGCGACTTCCTCAGATGGCTCTCGAGAGGTAACTCACGATCCCACTCGTCCTCCTGGATCGCATTCTGTCGTTTGACTCGTACCCGAATCACTGGATACAAGCGCAAGGCTCTTGGCGACCCATCCGCGAAGATGTCTGGGGACGTTCCTAGAGTCCCATTCACCAATCTCTTCTTTGCCGAGATCATTGGACCTCTTCTCATCGTCGCCGTCACCCTCATCCCATACATCTTTATCAACTCGCAAATTGGTGTCACCGCGCAGACCAACCCTGACGCTGATCCTGCTCAACTCTATGCCACGGCATCCTTGCTTCGTGTCGCCATTGTCGCCTTTGCTCCCATTGCGGTGAACGCTGGTGTGCTGGCTGCAATGTTTGGCATGGCTTGCTGCATGGGGCCCGTCCTCAACGCGTGCTGCAAGAAGTTCGGAACAGTTCTTGCTGCTATAGCCCATGGTATCGCGGTCGTCATGCTCCTCGTGTTCTTTGAGGTAATGTTCTTCCTCGAAGGATTTGTCTTGGCCAAAGCTCTCATGGGAATGATTGCTGCCACCGCCATCCAGCGCTTCGTATACAAGCTTATCATCTCCCTGGCGTTGACAAGAGAATTCAAATCGGACACGTCTAACATCGCCTTCTGGACCGGAAAATGGTACTCGATGGGTTGGCACTCAGTCTCGCAGCCAGCAAGAGAATTTCTCTGCAAGATCACCGAGCTTGGAATGTTCGCCGGAGACTTCGTTCTCGGCCACATTCTCCTCTTCATCATGTTGCCTGTTCTCGCCATTCCACACGTCGACAAGGCACACTCTGTGATGCTCTTCTGGCTTCGTCCCAGGTATGTTCCTTCTGTCATCCCCAAAGATTCCACTACTCACATGATATAGTCGTCAAATTCGCCCTCCAATCTACTCCATGAAGCAGTCCAAGCTCCGCAAGAGACGTGTTTGGAGATATGCAGTCCTCTACTTCACAATGCTCATTGTAGCTCTTGCCCTCATCGTCGGTCCTATTGTCGCTAGAACGATAATTCTGGACGGGACCGCCGGGATGAGAAAAGATCCCAGTAGTTTGTTCTACCTCGCCCAACCTTACGGGTTGAATAACAACGACACGAACGGAACGACCGAGACTGGAACAGCACTTGCTGCACAGACTGCCGCTCCAACTGGCACTGGCACTGACACCGACACCGGCAACGCCAACAAAATCAAATTGTTCTAGACTGGAGAGATTGGAGAAGTGCATGTCAACACTGGCCGCCGGACTGTATATTAGGTGAATAAGGGGTTCATGTTCAATGAGTTTGGGTGCAATGGGTAGTCATGGTTGTGCTTCAGAAATTGTCTTCTTTTTGGTGTTCGCATGGTAACGGCATAGACATCTCATACCTATTCGCCCAGCGCTTGTTTCGCGATGATGACTACATATGTGCTCCTGTAGCGAGGCTGTCAGGTGGTCGCTGCTGGATACAACAAACGGCGCTCGTGTGATGCCACGGAATCATAATACAGGTTCACTTCTTTCAAACCCACAATATTCCCGGGAGCATTAGCCATATATTACTATAGGTGATTCGAACCTCGCTTGTTCTTGTGTCTCCGGTGCAAAACCCCAAGTTCTCGAGGTTTAGTAGGGTATTCTGTGCATCACGCACCGAGGAAGACTCGACGCGTCCCGTCCCGCCCGGTCCCTCTCTCCCCAGCCCCGCCCGAGTCGGTAAATTGTCAAGCGAAACGCCGACGTGACGCCAGGGTCAGCCAAGGCCCGAGTCGGGACCTCACCGTCGCCGTCGCCGTCGCCATTACCATCGCCATCGTCTCCGTTCCCTTCACCACCGGAAAAAGCAACACCCTCCTTCCTTGAACCAGCAAGACAAAATGGAATTCCAAGACGTCCAGAAATTCGTAGTCCGCTCTATCAATGAGATCACGAGCACCTTCCAAAAGGTGCCGGGCTCCGCCATGTTGATCCGATACATTCGATCCAGCTATCAGGACGATCCCGTCCGCTCTGCCATCGAATTGATCCTAGTGATCTTCTTTATCCGCTACCTCCTGTCGCCCTCGTACGTCACGCATACTGGGAACTTTGTGAAGCTCTCCGAAGAAGTAAGCCAGCCAGCCAGCCAGCCAGCCAGCCAGCAGCGTTCGGAGTGGAAGAAGGGCAGGGAAGGGAATGCATGTAGCTGGGTGGACTGGAGGGGAGGGGAGTGGTGGCCGGGAGTCCTCGAGTGTTGCATTGCAGTTCTGACTCTGGGAATAGGAGATTGATGATCTGGTCGATGAGTGGACGCCGGAGCCTCTCGTTGCGCCGCAGACGCCATTTGAAGAGGCCGAAAGCGAGAAGCTGCCTATCATTGTTGGGTAGGTATTCACAGCATCCATCCTGCCCCGCACACCACTCACCCTCTTCTGACCGTGAAATAGGCCTACTGGTCCTCGAGTCAAACTCTCCAGCGGCCGAACGGTCGTCAATCTGGCCTCCTACAACTTTTACAATTTCGTCGGCAATGAGCAGGTTAAGGAAAAGGCAATTCAGACCTTGCGAACATATGGGGTGGGACCTTGTGGGCCTCCTCAATTCTACGGAACGCAGGATGTACACATGAAGACCGAAGCAGATATCGCCTCCTGCTTGGGCACCGAAGGGTGCATTGTCTACGCGCAGGCCTTCTCTACGATCTCGAGTGTTATCCCGGCTTTCTGCAAGAGAGGGGATATCATTGTCGCCGATCGTGCCGTCAACTATGCTATTCGCAAGGGTCTCCAGATATGCCGAAGCACGATTCGATATTACGAGCACAACAATATGGAGGATCTGGAACGGGTCCTGCAGAAAGTCATCAAGGACCAGGCGAAGAAACCCTTGACGCGGCGATTCATCGTCACGGAAGGCCTCTCCGAGACGGTTGGAGATTGTGTCGATCTACCCAAGCTGGTATGCGACGGCTCGTTTGCGCACATGCGGATTTACTCTGACCCGAATGCAGATTGAACTCAAACTTCGCTACAAGTTCCGCCTCATGCTCGACGAAACATGGTCTTTCGGTGTTCTGGGACGAACCGGTCGTGGTCTCACCGAGGCTCAGAATGTCGACGCGTCCCAGGTCGACATGCTGGTTGGTTCACTTGCCGGGCCTCTCTGTGCCGGAGGCGGATTTTGCGCCGGCTCTACGGATGTGGTCGAGCACCAGCGTATCTCTGGCGCCTCGTACACCTTCTCTGCCGCCCTGCCCGCCATGCTGGCCACGACAGCGAGCGAAACGCTCAACATGCTTCAAACCTCCCCCGAAATCTTGGTACAGTGCCGAGAAAATATCAAGGCTATGCGTGCACAGCTGGATCCCCGCAGTGACTGGGTCCACTGCACCAGCGCGCCTGAGAATCCCGTCATGCTGCTTGTCCTCAAGACGGAGGTGGTCAACTCACGGAGGCTGAGTATCGAGGAGCAAGAACGGGTCCTCCAGGAGTGTGTTGATGAGGCAAGTCCCGCCCGACGCTCGCGTCTCTTTCAATCCCACTAACCCGGCACCAGACCCTCGCCAACGGTGTTCTCATCACCCGGCTCAAGAGCATGCCGGTCGGGCCTAGCAGCGGCAAAGATGAGGACTGGAAGCTGCAGCCCGCGCTCAAGGTCTGCATCACCACCGGCCTGACGAAGAAGGAGATTGAGAAGGCCGGCGTGACGATACGACACGCTATCACCAAGGTCCTGACCAAGAAGAGTAGTATGAAGCTGGCGCTCCCTACCGCTCTGTGACTGGTTGACTTCGCATGTTAGATGATTGTATAGGCACCTTGTAAATCAATTTGATCGATAGCGATTAGCGTGCTATTTAATGTATAATGCGTCTGGCTATTGAACGGCTCTCGAACGATGCAACGTTCGTTTCGGCTCCTTACCGCTGTGACTGCTCTTCTTCGCATGTTAGATGATTGTATAGGCATCTTGTAGATCAATCCGATCGATAGCGATTAGCGTGCTATTTAATGTATAATGCGTGTGGCTATTGAATGGCTCTCGAACGATGCAACGTTCTTTTCGGCTCCTTACCGCTGTGACTGCTCTCCTTCGCCCTTAGATGATTGTATAGGCACTTTGTAAATCAATCCAATCGATAGCGAGTAGCGTACTATTTAACATATACTGCGTCTGGCTACCGAACAGCTCTCAAACGATGCCACGTCTCGCTGCGTCCGTCTGTAGCTGCTGCTGCGGTACAGCGATGGATGGGCAACACGGGCGCTGCCTCTCTCCCGCCTCCTCCTGCTTCGATCGACGTGCCGCTCGTCTCCCGAGCCTCGTTGCGCGTCGGCTAGAGACCTTTAAGGCGACCAGATAGTAGTACCGGTACCGGTACCGGTACGGCCTTGGGGCTTCCGGGGGATCGGGGGTGCGACGTTACGGTAGGGTAGCTCGAAACCAGGGGCACCGGCACACATACATATATACGTAGTAGGTACATATATATACTCTTAACTATCGCTCTGTCGATGTCTCTGTCTCTTTCTTGGGGCCATGGATACTTTTATATCTAGGTAGGTAGGTATACCTAGGCTAATATTTCTGTTCTGTTCTGTCCCACGGCGGCGGCTGTCTAGCAATGTAATGCTGTAATGTAATGCAATGGAATATCAAGCAGGCAGGCGGGCAGTTAACAACAGCAGGCGGGCGGGCAGGCAGGCAGTTAACCTCGCAACCTCCCAACCCTTCTCGAGTCTAGCCGGCCCGCTGATGCGGGGCCGACTGACCGACCGACCGACCGACCGACCGACCAATATGAAGCCCTCCCCCCAACACCCCCCCCACAAGCGAAACAAGTCCCATCCCGTCTTCTCCTCTCCTCTCCTCTCCTCTCCTACCGGCATCCATCCATCCGTTTCAGCCCCGCGAAACAAGCAAGCAAGTAAGCTACCTACGTACTTACCTACGTACGTCAGTTACAGTAAAGCTACATAAAGTAAAGTAAATCTCTGCAGATCTCCTCTCCCCTCCCCGCAGGAAAAGTACCGTACGCAGGACAACCAAGATCAAGCGAGGGGGATAATACCTGTAGGCGGAGGGGAAGTGTAAGTGTAAGTGTAGATCGCGGGGAAATCAGGGGGAGATCAGGGGGAGAGGGAAGAGATCAGTTGTTTGATTGATTGAGTGATTGTTTGATTGATTGATTGATTGATTTAATTTAATTTAATTTAATTTAATTAGTCGTTGCGTGCGTATGTGTGTGGGTATGTGTGTGGGTATGTGGGAGTAGGTAGGTACTTTATTTGAGTGGTGCGGGTGCGGGTGTGCGGGTGTGCGGGCGCGCGCACATCTTTAATCTAGATGGGGAGGTTTATGTTGTTGGAGGCTGGGAGGTTAAATTGAGGACGGTTGGGGGGTGGGAAGGTGGGAGGTGGGAGTTGTGGGTTGTGGATTGGGCTTGGGAGTTGGGCTTGGGACTTGGATTTGGACTTGGATTTGGACTTGGGACTTGGCCTGTTAGTAACCGGTAGGTACCTATGTCCCGCTGGTTTTTTCTGTGTTTTTGTTAAAATCTGTTTTGGGTTGGCTTGAGCTTGAGCTTGCTTGAGCTTGGGATTCAGAAAGGCAGAACGAAGGAGGTTTTTTTTTTTTTTTTTTTGAGGGTTTTTTGAGGGTTTTTTGTGCGTGTGAGTGTAAGGGGGAGGTAAGGGGGTTTTTCTTTCTTTCTTGAACGATTCCATTGATCAAGCGGTTGGAATTTTTTTTTCATGATTTTTTAATATATATATATATATATTTATACATTTTTATTTTATTTTAAAAAAGGGGGCTATTTTTCTCATCACCTTTACGATCCGCATGAGATAGGTAGTATCTACGTAGCTACGGAGAGTCAGATACTATATCTACGAAATGAAATCCAACGCGTCGGCGGAGGCGTGTCTGAGTACGGTACCGGTAGATTATATCATCTGTTTTACAAGTAAGTAAGCCAGTCTCTTGCGGAGGGGGAAGGTGGGGTTTTATACGAGAATTTTTTTTCTTCATTTTTTGATTTTTTCTTCACAATGTCTTATCTAATTCGTATCGGGATACATACTACATACTACGTACGTACATTCCGGGGGACAACAGCTGGCGCTTCCCTCGTGGCCCGTAGGTACTACTACTGTCTTAGGCTCTCCAGAGGATGCCGGCCGGCTTGCGTGACGAAAGGCCGGAAGAGCCCAATGCGTCCGAGGGGAGACACTAGTCGCGGCCAACGCGGCGAATCCGACTCGACGACGAGTTCTGTGCAGCGGAGACCAACGGAGAGCGAAGCGTCACTCGCACGCTCGATGGGTCAGTACCTAGTACGTAGTAGTACGTAGTAGTACGTAGTAGTACGTACGTACGTAGTCCAGGGGCTACACTCACGCCGTGCATAGGATTCGTGTTATATTACTACTACGTACTACTACGTATATTACGAGTCCACTACGTTGAATTGGGGTTGGGACGTCAAGGCTGCAGTGCAGCGCATTTCAGCTCTGCGAGGTGGAGCTTGGCGGAGATGTGACAGACGGGCTGCCAGTGCAGGGTCGGATCGCGACGTCGAGGCTGGTCACGGATGGTTTGTTTGCAGCGTGGGTGACAGCTGCCATCCATTCATTCATTTCGAGTTTGCGCGCTGCACCGGCCTCCTTCCCCGTATCCAGGCGACACGTTTGGACGAAGGGCTCCTTGGCCGTGCGCATTGGTGCTCGCTGAGCGGTTGGCGCAAGGGCCGTCGGCGCTACGATGGGACGGAAACGCCAGATGGCCCCAGAGGCCGTTCCTGGGCTACGACACTGGACCTGGACGCGGGACCTGGACGCGGGAGGCTGGCGCGTCTACAGTATATCGGCCCCTACATCGCGTTCGGACGGACCGGCGCGCTCGGAATCTCGGAATCTCAGACTCTCAGAATCTCAGACTCTCAGATGGAAGGCAGCGGCTGCCACCCTTGGCATCGAGCAAAACGAAATGACAGTTCTCGTGATGGGGGCGAGGGGCTGCTATTACTGTCCCTCCCGAGCTGGGTCCGTCCTGTGGTGCAGGCCCGTCTGTCCGTCTATCCGTCTGTCCGTCTATCCGGAGTCTTATAAATAAATGTTCTGCACGCATGAATATATTTGTGCATGAATGAATACACACAGAGAGATATATGCATATATATATATATATACAGATATATATATATACACACACACATCCGACTATATATACACACGTCTGTAACCCGATGGTTAAATATACCCAGATGTGGCTGCCCCGTGCTGGGCATCTCAGGGGAATGCCAGGAACAGCATCGTCGGTGCCTGGGACTACCAGCCTTGGCCGTTTCGTGCGTGGGTGGCGGTGGAGGGGAAGGGGGGGGAGGTGGTTGGTGGTGGTGGTGGATGGGAAGGGGAAGGGGAAGGGGAAGGGAAAGGGGAAGGAGGAGGTGGTGATGGTGGTGGTGATGGTAAACGAGCGCGCTGGGAGCGAGTAGGGGCAGAAGAAGTCAAAGTCGAGAACAGCCTTCGGTATTCCGTAGTGCTGGAGCGAACTGTACAGTAGGTACGACTAGTACGTACTAGTCGGTACAGTCAAAGTCAACTCAAATGTCCAGCCAGGGAAGGGGGGGGACGCGTCGATCAACTGGGCACCAAGCAAGGTCCGCCCCAGCCAAGACGAGGGTCCCCTGGGCACCAAGCATGGGAATGGCCTCTTCCCACCTGCTGTATGGGCACAGCCCAGCCAATGACAGCCCATCCCAGCCCATCTCAACCAATCACAACCTAGCCCAGCCTATCCCCCTGCACCAAGCGTCAACACGACGACGACGATCCACATGGCGAAGTTTATATGGGAAATTTGCCTCGGACGCGCCCCGGAGGTCTGAATTGCTTTCGTCTACCCTTATTATTATTACATCTCCTATTCAACTTGCCGTCTTTTCTCCCCTTTCTCTCCACTCACTCTCGCTCGCTCACTCTCCCCCTTTTCTCCTCATCAGCGACTGATATACACTCTTTGCATCATCGCTCTGACTTGCACTTCTGCAACCTGCTGCATATCCCCCCCCCCCCCCCCAACAGTCATTCCAGCCCGCTGACCCTGCGGCACACATTCTTACCTTCCTTCCGGATCCCCAACCAGTCCTTCCCTCTGGAGACCAGGTACGTCGAGTCGGGTCCAGTCCAGTCGAGTCGAGTCGAATCCAGACGAGAACGATTGAATCCATCCCTCTTTCCTTTCCTGAGCCATGTCAACAAGCCACTGCGCAATTCGCTTCCCCAAGGGCGGCCTTCATCGAGCTTTCCAACCCTTCCCCCTCCCCCATTCCATATATCCTACCGCTACCTCTCCGTAGCTTTGCCCTCTCCCTCCCCCCTCGGCTCCATCTCCCATTCACCTGCTCCATTTTGCTCCTTTTTGGCCGCTCTGCTGCTGTTCCACGCGCGTGCAATTTCAAGAGACTAACCGCTGGCCGGTACAGACAGACTCATCCACATCTTAGAACTTCAAGATGAAGTCCACGACGCTAACCCTCACATTCGCGGCTCTCTCCGTCTCCCTCATCCAACTTGTTGCCGCTCAGCCACACCGTAAGTAGACCAAAAAAAAAAGAAAAAGAAGAAAAAAAAGAAAGCAAAAGAAAAAAACCCCCTTCATGTCCACCTGCTAAGACCACATGAAGGTGTACGGCACCCGCGACTCCATAAGAAGGGCAATGTCGTGGTCACAGTAGTCAACACGGTCTACGCGACGCCCACCGAGGCGCCCAAGGTGGTCGTCTACGTCGACCAGAACGGCATTCCCGTGGCGACCGTGGTTGACCATCCGGAAGTAACCGTCCCGCCGGAGCCCGCCTACACCCCCTCCTCGACCAGGTCCTCGTCGACGTCCTCGTCGTCCCCCCCCGTGAAGCCACCGTACGTGGCCAACACCGCTCCGAAAGGGTACCCGGTAGGGAACCCGCCCATGCCTGCCTACGCCCCGGCCCCGGTCGAGACACCGGCTGCCCCGGTGGAGACTCCAGCTCCGGGCTACGTCCCGGTCCCGGTCGAGACACCAGCGGCTCCAGTCGAAGACGAAGACGAAAAAGAAAAAGCTCCCCTTCCGGCCTATTCTCCGGTCCCCATGGAGAAACCCGCGGCGCCTTCCTCCGGCGACAAATCGGGCTTTGGTCTCGTTTACTCGCCCTACAAAGCCGACGGCACCTGCAAGACCCAAAAGGATGTCAGCCTAGACTTCGAATCCATCTCCAAGGACTACACCCTCATCCGATTGTACGGAACGGATTGTGACCAAGTCGCGACCGTCCTCCCTGTCATCAAGGAACGCGGAATCAAACTCTTCGCTGGTATCTTCGAGATCACGGATCTCCAGAGCGAGGTGAACACGATAGCGGAGGCGGCCGATGGTGACTGGAGCAACTTCCACACCATCTCCGTGGGCAACGAACTCGTCAACTTTGGGAAAGCCACGCCCGAAGCCATCGTCGCCGCCATCGGGGAGGCGCGCGGGCTCCTGAAGGCGGCGGGCTACACCGGCAACGTCGTCGCTGTCGACACCCTGGTCGCCGCGCGGGCCAACCCTTCCATCTGCGACGCCTCGGACTACTGTGCCGTCAACTGCCACCCGTTCTTCGATGGAAATGTCGCCGCGGAAGATTCCGGCAAGTTCCTCACGGAACAGACGGCCACCCTGAAGGAGAAGCTGGCCGACAAGAACATGAAGGTGGTCGTCGCCGAGACGGGATGGCCGTGGCAAGGACTGACCAACGGAAAGGCCGTCCCCTCTCTCACCAACCAACAAGCGGCCATCAAATCCATCAAGACCAGCTACTCGGACAGTCCCGAGTCCGTCATCCTGTTTACCGCCTTCAACGATCTGTGGAAGACCAACGATGCGTCGCAATACCAGGCCGAGGAATTCTGGGGCTTGGACGGCCAGTTTGCCCCATCCGGATAGAACGCTCGCTATCGCACAAGCTCCTCTCTTCCCGGACTGGCGTGAGTATCACCGTACGGGCGCCCCCGGGTCGTGGCTCCCGCCCTCTGGGGGCTCTGGGGTCCGGGGGTCCGGGTGACTTGGGTGTTGGAGGAAGAGATGGTAGCCCCCGTGTTCTTGGGTTGGGTACGTCTCGTGAAAAAGCTTGTTGTTCGATGTCTACCTACCTACTTCCGCCTGACCATGAAAGAATGGGAGATGGTCCTTCATTTCCACTTGTACCAAGATTTTGGTCGCATCCTCTGTACATACCTACATTTGCCCCTTAGGCTTGGAGCTCTTACCTCTGTGCTGAATTTTGACGCTGTTTTACCTCATTCCTGGCCTCGCCTTCCAACCCCCAAGTCCATGCAGTTTGCGTTCGCGTCGGTGTGAATCCCCCACGGCACGGCCGAGAGAGATTTTCGGATCCTGGCTGCTTCGTGTCCCTCCGGGCCGAGAGTCTGTGGCACTGGGTAGCTCCAGAACTACGGGATCCACGGGCTCAAACGCAGGTGCGAAAATTCTCCTTTCATCATTGGGTATCGTTTAGAGTGATAAAAATATCTCGGCCCTGCACCCGAGTCGTGTGCATGCTCGGCTTTCCGTCCCGCCCAGATACTATGCTTGTCGTATCGTCTGCACCTCCTCCATATCGTAGTGTCCAAATCGCTCAGCATGCCCACTAGCTTGTCCCTGCCCGTAGACGATGCTGCCACATACGTTGCATCTGATAGCCATACCTCCCGTATCCGTGAAGTAATGCTTCGCCTTCAGCTTCTCGCATAACTCCAGCGCCTTGCTCAATATCCTGTCATCCGTCGTCGGCCACACTTTCTGATCGCATTCCGGATCCGTGGGCATGGGGCTCTCGGCCACCGTGTCGTAGTGGATGCCTGAATATACCAGTATACACCTGTTCTCGGCCCCTTCGTTGAATTTGTCTATTCGCAAAGATTGTACGTCGATGCTGCAGATTTCTACTCCGAAATAGTTTGCTAGTATCCCCATTTCTATAGCACCTCCCCATGCGTCCGGAGTTTGGATCCAGGTGCAATATTCGTCGGGTTCTTGTTCGAGGACCACCTTCGAGTATGTCTCGCGGTCACCTTGGATGGCCGTTGCAACTATCGAGCGCAGTTCCACCATGCTGAGGTCGTCACCTGGGACGAAGGCGGTACCAAATGCGCGGAAGAGGCAAGAATTATCATCAGGCATTACTCGGAGAACTGGAAGAAGATGGACTGTCAGGACCTTGCTAGAAGCAGAGACCAGGGGTGATAGACTTGCCCACAGTAGTCCCCCTCTCCGGAAACGGCTGCTCAGGTACATCCCCCTCCATAGCTTTCCGTGCCAGCGATACTGGCCCGGCTGACCTGCCCTCCTTGGGTATTGATGATCCAGCTCCAATCGGGGTTGACCCAGCCTTTGGTGCCGGGGCAGAGATGCCGCCTTTCACATTTGTGACTATTGTGTCTCCTTGGCCCGTAGGAAGACCATCCTTTCGGCTTATGGTGAGTTGTTCGCCGTCTAGCTTCACGCCCAGGGCGCTGAGGGGTGAGGAGGTATCGCTCTCTTCGAGGAGGAGGGGCTTTGGGGGGTAGCCAATTTTGGTGTGAAAGCTTTGAATCGATGTTTTCTCCGTGATTTGAGAGATCAAGTCTCCCACCGTGGCGTCCTCTGCCAGGGTGAGAAGGAAGGCCCCGTTCTCGGATCTGACCCTGCATCGCATGGTGATAGAGATGGAGTGGGATATGACTGGGATTCTGGAGTCTGGATTGTGGAAGCAACGGTTATTATATTGGGATGTTGGGTTGCATGGAGTACCTGTGGAGTACGGAACGGAATAACACTCCGGAATAAAGAGTGGGCGGGCCGGCCCGGACTACTTCGTACACAAGACTTCGAAACGCGAAAGATCGCGAATTTAACAACTCACCTCGGTCTGTGTTGAGCCACCACAACCACGACCACAACCACAACCACCGGCCGATTCGATTCGGCAGCCTCGAAATGTCGTCGCTCCCGCCAGATCACCCCAGGGCCGATGCGCCGATCAACGACGAGCACCAGAACATGCCCGAGGCTGAATCGCAGATCAAGGCCGAAGAACCTGTGGCAGCACCCGCACCCGCACCACAGAGCAGCAATGCGACTCCTGCACCTGCCCTCGCCCCGAAATCTACACCTACACCTCAGACTGCCTCCCTAGCCCCCCCCATGGCTACCCCTACCCCTACTCCGACAGCAGCACCAGTGGCAGCACCAGTGGCAGCACCAGTGGCAGCTCCAGCTCAAGCACCAGCTCCAGCACCAGCTCCAGCTCCAGCTCCAGCTTCAGCACCAGTAGCAGCACCAGCTTCAGCACAAGCTTCAGCTCCAGCACCAGCACCAGCTCCAGCACCAGCTCCAGCACCAGCACCAGCATCCTCGAAGGCGATCGCGGCCGGTCTTACCAAGAAGGATTTTGAAATCATGAACGGCATTCTGCAGCGCCTTACGAATCACAAGGACGCAGAGTAGGTCTAGCCAGAAATATAATCTCACATTGGACCACGACTGACGGATAAACAGTGGCCGTGAGGTTTCCAAAGACTTTCAGCGAGTGGTCAGCAGGAGAATGTTGCCGGACTATTACGAGATCATCAAAGAACCGACTGCTTTCAGTACTCTTCGGGTAGGTGATTGCTGCCCGCACTCGCTTGGACTGAACTAATACTCCCAAGAGCAAAATCACCAAGAAGCTGTACACAAACTTCAAAGAATTCATTCGAGACTTCGCTCTTATCAGTCACAATGCCCAGGTGTACAACCGCCCTTCGGCCATGGTATACGGTGATGCCATAACTATTCGGACCTTGTTCAAGGCTGAGCTACAGAAGCTGGTAGAGGACAAGGTCATCACTGTAGAAGAAGCTGAGTTGCCATACCTTGGTGAAATCCCGGAAGTCGAAGACTCTCCGCCGCCGCTTCCCGAGGACGAAGAACTTGACGAGGACGAAGATGAAGAGGACGAGGATGACGAGGAGGATGACGACTCCGACGATGACAAACCCCGGCGGAACCGAAAGAAGGGCAGAAGATCCCCGACAACGGCGAAGAAGGACGGCAAATTCGATGAAGGTGGTGGCAAAGACGACCCCGAGGCCCAGAAGAGACGCGGGCGCCCGCCGAAGGTGCTCACTCCTATGGAGGCTCGAATCAACTCTATACTGAAAGGACTACGCAAGCACAAGAGCTCCGATGGTGAGCTGAAGATTCTGCCCTTCGAAAGACTGCCAGACAAGTCAGAGCTGCCAGATTACTACCAGGAGATCAAGAACCCAATCGCAATGGATACGATCAAGAAGAAGGCGAAGAGGAAGAAGTACCATTCTGTCGACCAGGCGATGAAGGACCTGGAGCTGATGTTCGAGAATGCTAAGCTCTACAACGTAGAAGACAGCGAAGTCTACCAGTTTGCCGTCGACTTGCAAAAGGAAGCCCGAATCTTGGCAGAGCAAGAGAAGCAGAAGCCTGATAGCGATTTCGTGGATGATGACGGCCGCCTTCCTGTGCCCGAGATTCTGTACAGCAATGAGATATGGAAGGTTGGAGACTGGATTCATTTGGCCAATCCCAACGACGTGACGAAGCCGATTGTCGCTCAGATCTATCGAACATGGCAGGATCCTAAAGGGGAGAAATGGATCAACGCTTGCTGGTACTACAGACCCGAACAGACTGTGCACCGTTACGAGAAACACTTTTTTGAGCATGAAGTTGTCAAGACCGGTCAGTATCGAGATCACAAGATTGAAGAGGTTGTTGATCGCTGCTTTGTCATGTTCTTCACCCGCTTCAATAAAGGCCGCCCCCGTGGCTTTCCGGCTGACAAGGAGGTGTATGTCTGCGAGGCTCGCTACAATGAAGAGAAGTTCAAGCTTAACAAAATCAAGACTTGGGCGAGCTGCGTTCCAGACGAGGTTAGAGACAAGGATTACGAGATGGATCTGTTTGATTCTCCGAGAAAGATCAAGAAGGTCCCCAGCCCTATCAAACATCTGCTGCGAGAGGATGCCAAAGAGGATGACCCCCTTCCAAAGCCCACCTGGGGAGCCCCGAACGCCCCACCCATCGTGGGAGCTGTTCATCGACGACCGAGGGAAACAAATGTACGTACTACCATACTTATTTTTCCAACATTGCCTCCAGCACACTGGACTTACATTGAACAGGAATCTCCACCTCCAGAGGCAACTCCTTCGCCACCTCCGCCATCACCTGAGCCTGTTCGCCGTTCGGCGACAAATGATCGACTACACTACGAGAGGGGAGATACCAACATGTCTGGTGCATCACCAAATGCTCCTCTGCCATCACCCTCGGCACCTCAGAATTCGGGCCCAGCGTACAACCAACCATTTGCCCAGTCCCGCCCAGCGGCTTCGCCCGCGCCTCTCAAACATCAAACTTCCTATGGATCCCATGGGGCGAATCCCGGAATTCTTCAGCCGCCTCTATACCCGCCCCAAAGTGGATACCAGTATAACAGTTCTTCGACACAAATAGCCCAGCAACCTAATCCACTTGCCAACCACAATCAATACCAGAGTAGTCATACAACACCGAGATCAACCGTACCGGCTCATCACTCCTCTGGCGGCGCCGTCTACAATCCGCCACGTGCAGTCGAGGTTTATACCCTCGGAGAATCTGCGAATTTGGCCATTCCCGCTGACATCCGTGCTCAATTTCATCACGATGAGTCCGGCAAGGTCATCTTCTATACCGCGCCCCCATTGGATATCAACCCTATTCCACAAGAGAAACAGGCCCTCGGTCACAGTCTTCGATACCTTGCCGACAAGGCACGTAGTAAGGAAGAAGATGAAAAAAAGCGTAAAGCTCGCGCCATCGAAATGGAAACAGCAGCCAGTGCAAGACTGAAGAGATTGAAAATTCACGCCGAGGGTAGGTCGGATTGGATGTTGACCGAGAGGCTGAATCTCCTCGGTCGGTGGAATGATGAGATCAATAAGGGAACGGATGAGTTGTATCAAAAACTCTATGGCGAAGATTGGGAAGAAGTTCGGGATCAGGACATCATCAGATTGGCCGCTCGGCAAGAGCAGACGTTCGCCAAAGAACGGGAAGTCGAAGCTTTTTATAGAAAGCGATCGGAGAGCAGAGACGTTAAGATTGAAGGGTTTAGATGGATATGATTTGATTACTAGCGTTTTGAACACGCGATACGATAATTATTGCAATCCACATTTTGACGATTATATTTCTATGTATTGGACGCAGGCATTTGTTTACGTGTTCATCAAAAGCGCGTGACTGATCTATAGCTCTGTAATGATAATAAATTAGATAGGCTGCTTTTCCGTGTAAGGTGAGGCCTTATAAGGAAGTCTACTACTCCATTTGCCCTATGGCTGTAATGGCCTGAGGCCATGAGACACGCGTAGGGCACACGTGCGCGCTAGGAGGCTATAAAGAATTCTTCCGCCGAAGAGAACTTGGAAATATCAACTTCATTTTATTGTTACCAACGTTAACCCAAGATAAGTTCCATTGGTTATGATAGTAATAAGACTGTCGAAGCTATTGTGACGACACGCTAGGTCTCTTAAGCGTATCCCTACATGCGCCAAGCTACCTCCTTCCTTTTTTCCTACCTTGCATCTTTTCCTTCGTATTCTTCGCATTCTCTCATTCCCTTCTTTTGACTTATGAACCATGGTTCACGAGTCCTTGGCGCTCTTACCTTCGTGTATATAGACCTTAGCTACCTTCGACCTTTATACTCGGTAGTTGTTGATTCTAACTTTTGCTTATTTATTGTCACCAACGGTGACCTAAGATAAATTCCAGTTGATGTGGTGGTGATGAGTCATCCAATCACGTGAGACTATTCTATACCGATCTGACAGGATTTCTAAGCAATGCCAAGAGAAATGTCGGCAGATAATTCTAGATTTCGGAAAAGGTCGGCCCGAATTAAATATGTCTTACAGCTAAGCTTAATTCAATCACCGCTATTAATTCTGCCGTACGTAACGTACGTAAGGCTGCTATACGTAACGTACGTAAGGCTGCTATACGTAACCTACGTAAAGCTGCCACACTTAACTAACGTACGTAAAGCTGCTATACCTAACGCACGTCGCTGCCTTACGTAATACGTAAGGCAGCTAAGCTGCCACACGTAACCTACGTAAAGCTTCTATACGTAACTTACGTAAAGCTGCTACACGTAAAGCACGTCGTTGCTTTAAATATAAGTAATTCGCAAAAGGGTATAAGATTTCTTTAGTAAAAAAAGGGGTTTAAAAGAGTCTCCTCCTTATAATAAATCATTACATATAAGTAATTCGCAAAAGGGTATAAGATTTCCTTAGCAAAAAGAAGGGTTTAAAGGGGTCTCCCCCTTATATTAAATTATTAAATATAAGTAATTTGTAAAAAGGTCTAAGGTCTTTCCGGTAAAAAAAAGGGTTCTAAAAGGTTTTTTTATAATAAATTTTTAAATAAATTATTCTTTGCGTTAATTACCTTTATATTTATTTAATTTTTATTGTTATTTATTTTATAATTTACTTAAATATATAAAGATTTTTATAGTCGAGTAATTAGCCCGTTGTGTGACATTGCAAAGAACAGTAAAACCGATATCACTTTAAGCTTATAAGCGCAGCTTTCGACGATAAAAGCTATTTCGAAGCTACGATAGCTTAAAGTATAGTTCGATCGGAAGATGACTTTTAAACGCTACTTATTTAGAAAAGTTAAAAAAGCACGACGAATAGCATTTTATATTAAAAGCTTCGCTCGCACGGCGAACGGTCTTTCCGCTTACGCGTTACGCAAAGCAATAATCACTTGCGTATTGCTATCGATCTTATATAGCACTAAAGCTTAATACGAAAGACGAACGAAACTTTTACGATATGTAATTAAAGACAACTTAAATAAAAAAGTTAGCGTAAGCTTAAAAAGACATATCGATACGGTTAATAAAAATTTTACTTACGTAACGAAAAGTGTTTTTTTTACTTAGCGCACGGCTTTAACTATTACTTTTCTAAAAGACGCCGGACTTTTTTCTAAAGAAATAGCACTTAAAGAAATTAAAGTACGATAAGTATTACGGCTGCGAATGATTAATAAAGCTTATTCGATAATAAAACGTATTTTTCTTTTTATAATTATTAAAAGTCTTGCCGCAAGCTTTCGATAGCGGATCAAAATAAAACTTTAAAAACTAAAAGTTATACTTTTTTTTTGTTTACGACCAAAGCTAGCTTACTTTTACTTTTTAACTAAGTGTTGTACGAACTTTACTTAGAGCGTTAAAAAAAAGCAAGCCGCTTAAAACTTTAAAAAGTAATAAGCTTAACTTACCGACCGAAATATCATTTTTTTTTAAACGGCTCGAAGCAATATAAAAACGAGTATAAATACGTCGAATATAAATACGCTATTTATTAAAGATAAAAAAAGATTGCTATAAGTAAAAAAGCTATTAATAACTTATCGCACGTCTTTAACGCAAAAGCAATAAGAGCTTAAAAAGCGCTCGAGCACGCTATTCGGCTTTTATTAAACCTTACTTATTGCTACATATAACTATGCATAAACAATACGTCCGTGATTTAATATATACGAAGCACAACTTTAGTTATTTTTTAATAAGCGTTCTTACGCATTTAAAAAGTAATAAAACAATTAAAAGTTAGCGTTAAATAAGCTTCGAGATATACCGGTATTATTAATAACGAAACGGCGGATCGGCTCGCCGACGAAAAAGCAAAGCTTAAGCTTGCATTAAGCTTTACTTCCGAGCTTACGGCGTTTAAAATCAAGTTTATCATTAAGATTTTAATCGATCAAGCTCGAGATATATAATAAAATGCAAGCAAAGCGAAGCTTTTTATTTAATATCGCGATTAAAGTCTCGAGTACGTAAGTAAAGCTTCGTTAAAATTATATTTGCTTAAGCACTTTGTCGGTATCTCCATATCGACCTTAGCTAGCTAGTAGTAGTAGTTGGGGAAAGCTCACCCGTGAACCATAGTTTACGGGCCACTTAGCATGCCTCGCTTAACATGTCAGCAGTCAAGGGACCCTTAACTTGACAAGTAAACCTATTAGTTAGCTAATGCACGTGATTCCTTTTAATCATATAAAAAGAATCAGCTCCCTTAAGCCTTAAAAGGAAGACAGAATTCAAGTACCTTATCAACCGAGTGTTTTGCAATTGCAAGTACTTTAACGAACGTTACGACCTTACGAATATATTCTTAATCGCTTAAAAGCAATCTAACACTGATCAGTGGTTGATTTACTATTAAGTGATCAATCACAGAAAAGCTAAGAATACTTTATAGCGAGGATATTTTTCATTACGATACCTCTCTCCTTTTACAACGGAAAAGCGATTCCGTACTAAGTCGCTTCTTATACTACCGATTTTCCTTATTCTTACGGAAGAGTGATTCCGAACCAAGTCACTTTTAAAAATAACAACTTCAACGTTATAAGAGCCACGCTTGCTATATATAGCAACTTAACTAAATTTAAATCGACTTACACACAACTAGATAGCAATTATAGCCGATCGAGCAACTAAACCTTTAAGTAAAAAGTCTAGCCGATAAAGAGCGGGGTATTATACCCTTCGAATCTTATCATCACTTACGGAACCTCTAGCTGTTCAGCCGAAAGAATCACTATACTTAAGACTCTTAAGCCTTTCGGAAAGACTAGACGACGAGATATCAAGCATCTCGTTTGACTTAAATGAACTATTATACGCAAAGCTCGATAATAAGATCACGGCTCGAGCAATAGTAAAAGACTTCTTAAATGCGAAGTGCAAAAGACTAAAAGATTACGACTTATAAAGCTTATTCCGATACGCGTTCTTACGCTAAGATTAAACGAGCTTTACGATGACGGAGAATAATATAAAAAGAAACTTTAAGTTTGCTACTTTTATTAAGCTTAAAGAACACTTGATATCTAAAAGAGTGTGGTGCTTCTTAAAGCAAAAGGGTTACGCTAATAGAATGGTCAAGCTCTTAAACGACGAGCAGCAGCACTAATAGACCTTTAAAGAAATAAAAAAGCAACAAGCAACACTTTTAAGCCTCGAATCAAAATAGACCGCCGAAAACCTTACGAACGACGAAGATATTACACCTTAACCACTTTTACCCTTACGAAGTCCAAAAGAAAAAGAAAAAAAGACTTCAAGCAAAAAAGAAGAAAAGAAAGAAGTCCAAAGGTTACGAGAAGAGTTTTTAAAAGAGAAGAAAGATATAAAACGAAATATAAAAGCTATAACAAGACAAATAGCGGAATTATAGACTTACGCTATACAATCTAACGAAAGATTACGACGAAGTACTTTAGCGTACTCATCTTCAATTCATTAATCGCTACGCAATACGCTAATCATACAGCAAGAGCTAAAATCACTTTAACGGCCCTTAAACCCTTTTCTTAAGAGCTACACCTAGTTTTCTAAAAAGCTTAAGCTTAATAGTAACAACAATAATAGTCTTAAAGTTATTATCGGATTAAACAACACTCGAAGCTACGGGAATTACACGCTAAAAGAAGACCCGCTAAAACTTAAAAGCATTCCGAGCAAAATCAGCTTTCATTAAAGACAACGTACAGATTTCTATACCTAACTTTAGCAATTCGAAAAAAGGATCTAGCACTCTTAGACGTACCGATGAGCTCTTCACATCTCTCAAGAAGCTACGTATCAGCAAAAAAGATATTAAGAGTATAAAAATCGCTAAAAGCAAGCTTAAAGACACGGATATTATTAAGCGAAAGTAGGCTGCTCCATGGGGTAGGGGCCCTATAGGGTTTTCCTCCCCATTCCCCTTATAAGGTCTTGGCCGATAAAGGACTCTTTTTTTTAAACCCTATAAAAAGGATTTTTTTTTAAATCAAATTCCTTACGAAGGATAAGGAAACCTTATAGGTTTAAAGTAAAACAGCTAAAAATAATATATGTGAGGCCGCTAAAAATAAAACAAATTTACGAATATTTATTAATTTTACTTAATTATTATATTTATTTATTATATTTATTAATCATATATATTATACTTTATAATTATATTGCATTATATTATAATAAACTAAAATTACTAAACAAAACTTTTAGTTATAATTTCTCGCAATTTTTTAATTAACG